GTTGCTGATGCTCCTGCTTGTGTGCATAAAATATAAATGCTGTTTGCATCATTGTAAAACTTTATGACTTGCACGAGCAATTTGGCCGCGGCCGTGCTCACATGCCAATTTGAAGAGAGTGGCATTTTCTCAATTTGTTTTAACTGCCCCGCGTGCCTGTTAAACTTAGGAAAGCGTATACCAGGGCCGATGTGCAGCGCATTATTTACCCACTTACCACGCGCGGAATTTGTAGGCGTATCGGTCCAAATAGTGGAGGGTATTTGCGAGTTAATTGCACATTCGAATTTGCGACCAGGCACTCAAAATTTAATTATGCGTGGTTGATGACCCATTGACTAACTAAAATTTGTACGACTTTAAAGGTTTGCAATGCATTTGAAATAAATCAGCTTCATTCAATAATAATTCCAACTCATTTATGTAAATAATAAGTAATTACAATTAACAGAAAATATTCAAAAAGTTATATTATGAATTTCAAAAATTTAATCTATTTTAATTTCAACAGGTTTGTCTAGAAATGCTAGAATGAATAAAAAAAGTCTTTTTGATACTTTTTTTTCTCTAAAATTCAATTAATTAATAAACTTCAGGCAGAAAATTAAATATATACATTAACATTAGTACTTCACCCATAGATTTTGAAGAAATGATTTGCTAAGAAATGACTTATTGAGTGAAATTTCTTTTAGATTTTTTTTACATTTAATTTTATTTTAATTTACTTTACAACTTTTCCAAATAAAATATATCCGCAAAATTAAAAAAAAAATGTATCTTACCTTTGCTATCTTTTTAAATGACTTGAGTATAATAAATAATAAATCTTGAATTTAATTTCAGGTCCATACCAAATGAAAACCATTAATCTTGAGTATTGTGTCGGAAAGTTCTTAAGCTCTATGATTAAAAGTGAATTCAGTTCATATCAAACGATCTCTCCAGCCATTTCTCATTGGATTCATCTCTATAGAGCGAATTTGTCGTCCACGTCGCACATTGGCCCAAATGTGCCTCGAAACTTTCCCCAACCGTCGCCATCGGATCAAATTAATCCAATTTCTTTTGGGAATACCCAACTTTGTGACTAGCGCTGAATGTGATTTTTCTCCAACTGCGTGTTCGTGTGTCCCGGGATGGAAAAAAAACTCTCGGTCGCTGAAAGGGTGAGAGATTCTTCGATTTTCGCCTCACGGCGTGCGGACAAAAAAGGAGACGAGAGAGTATAAATGGAGTCTGGCAGCAGCCGGACGGCAAAATGGGAAAAGCGGCGGGGACTTGCCAAAAAATCGAGGCACCTTGCCCTGAGGGGAGGAGATGCATCTCCCTTTTCCGCCACCGCACCAGTTCATAAATATCAAAAGTAGTTTCGTTGGTGTGCGACGCGCGCGCGGTTGCTTTGCGGCTCCGCGCCTTTTAGATACACATCGGAAGAGCGGCTTAGTTAGACCAGGACCATTAGCACCCAACACCCCTAACTAATAAGCACGACTCTCTTGCTGCAGACAGCGCGCAGGCCCACTCACATATAATCAACTCGGCTAGAGCTTCTTAAGATTTCACGTCAGAGCCGCTGGCTGCTGCTCCGTCAGAGAGATTGGACCGCCGACCAGGAAAAAGAGAGGCCCGGCCAAAACGAGAGAGAGACTCTTTGTGCTCGGCGTCGTCACACAACTGCCGCCCGCGGCCCATAAAAATTAAAACAATGGACGATAATAAAGGCCAAATTTGCGTTCCTTCTCCCTCTCGGCCGGATGCTGGCCGGGCTGCTTTTTATTTAGAACGCGCGCGCTGGCGAAGACAACAATTGAGTGCCAAACGGCGTTTATTATGCAAAATGTTTCTCGGTAATTGCGAGACGGCCGAAGCTCTCATTGTTTCGGTATGAATTGGACGGGCGTTCTGCGCCACAACTTTGTTGCCTCGTGAAAATTCAGTTAGGAAGTCATTTCAGAAAAAAAGTAAAAATTATGGCCTTCATGTTTATTTCGCTTCACTAAATTTAATGGAACAATTTACTGGATTTAGATTTTTGAATTTTTGACGCTTTAATTAATTTTATATTTCCAAATGTTTAAATGAGTGATAAAAAGTGATTGGTGAGTGAAAAACAAGCATCTATATTCACTAAAATCAAGAATTTTGCTATAATGTAGAAATGGAAACCACGTTTTGCCGCAGAGAACCATGGCAGAATATTCTGCAATAGGAAGCAGACGCAAAGTTTAAAATTTTATAACACTTCTCAAATTTTGAAATGAAATATTTACGCATATCGATATTTCTAATAATCTAAATATTTTGAGAAATTGAATTTTCTTTTTATATTTGAGACAGATTAAAAAAAACTAACAGGTTTTTAACAAAAAGAAAGAAATTTTAAATTCTAATTTTCTTCAATTTTGATTTCTCTTGTAAGTTTTCAACTGATCTTGACGGATTTATGAGTTAAAACTTCTTTTATTTTGCTACATGGACTTATGGTCAATTTTTTTTTATTTATTTATAATATATTCCACATTGTTCTGTCTCATATTTAACTTTTGCTCGCATGCTTCCATCATTCTCGTGTCTACTTTATGAGGGTAGGCTACCAGTCTAGAGGCGATATAACGGAGCGCAAACGGCAATTCACAGAGCAAATTTTCCATATTTTTCATCTGGAATATCACGTAGAGCGAGAGAGAGGCGCACTGCCTTTGCCACCGTTCCGCATGCAGTGAGGGAAAAGTTAACTTTCAGCGCAGCTCACAGCAGTCAGAGGAAATGGCCATTTTTGACACTGGCAAAAAATGACGACTGTTAAAAACGAATGGAGCATGAAATTAATCAGAGCGCGAACACACACACTGCAGAGAGGGTGGCGCGCTGCACGGTGTTGAAAAATAAATATGTATCAAAAAGTACATATCGCCCCGACGAACTCGATTCTTTTCGGCTGGCGCGTCCATTTGTCAGCGGATAAATGTTTGGGAAAGCAGAGCCTGCGCGCCGTCGACGCGTGCGGAATTTTCCAGCTGCAAATGCCTTTTAATAACATAGCGTGGATAGGCTAGCCTGCCGAGAGGCTTTATAATTGAGGCAGTAAAATGTTTAAATAATTTGCACGGCAACGCGGAACACGCCTGCAACGTTATTTTTCGGGTGCTGCACGAAATTTCGCATATTTTCAGCCGGCAGAGAGGGCGAAAATTGCGCGTGCAGTCTTGTTATTTGGCACTGTTATGGTTCTGTAGGGTGCAATGAATGGATTAAAGGGTAAAATAGAGCGGCACGTTTTCACTGGATTCACAAAATATACATAATAATAGTGCAAAGCTTGTTTCTGATATTTTAACAAAATGGTAAATTCCAATTATGCAATGTTAAAAGTGATTTTCAACAAATTAAAGCTGAAAAATACTTCAATTTAAGCGTGATGATGTAAATAAAAACAGCTCTTACTCCTTGCAAAATTAAAATAAAAATATATATATATATTTTTAACATCAAATTAAGATTCTCATTAAATGAAAGGCCCGATTTTAAATTGAATTACTCGTGACAAACGATTTACACTGACATCTGACGGCCGACAAATTGATCTACCATTTGGAAAGTAACAACTGCAAATCAAAAAGTTTATTGGAATTTCATGAGTGATAAGCCGCTCCTTTCATCCAAGCAGTGTGTGCTTGTTTTTCTCTCTATTGGATATAAAAACGCACAGTACCATTCCACGCGCAAATGGCTGCCAAAAAACAAAGGCTTATTAAATTTATTGTGCACTTTTCGTCCGAGCAAAAATCTCGTGCCGGTCTAGACGACGCACATTTTAATGGCTCCTTATAGGGAAGCTGGATTTCCGTGTATAATAAAATTTAGTTTTGGAGAAGAGACGACGTGACGTCACCAACTCTGTGAAATGTATTTCACGAGAGACGCACATAAAGTCTCGAGAGATTTAGGGCTTTCTCGAAATGAAACAGAAAGCCGCCGTTACTTGCAGATGAAGATAATTTTCTCGGCAAAAAGTTCAAAGCAGCATCTCATCTGTAATCGAATGCAGCAGAAATCAAATAGGGTCCTTCTTGCAAGTTGGGAGCAGGATTTCAACCCTTTTGTATTATTACAAGAGGCGCGGCTCCTCCTTTTGTGCGAACTGCCAAAGGAACACTTTGAATTCCTAATTTAAGGGCCTCGTATGTTGAGTTGGAAACAAGTAAGCGCAGCAAAAAGCGACACCAATTCTACAACTGACTCAAACTTACACTCTAGGTATACATCAGACACAAAGTTAGAGCCACGTCGCCGGCTTAATTTCATCAGACGTGTGTTTCGAATTCCACCTTTGAAGTCGGGGATTTAAGTGCACATTAATTCTTTCGTTGTGTGATCGTTTTTATAATTATTTTTCCTTTTGAAAACAGCCGTCGTCTACGCGCGTGCAATTAAAACGATTGTGCGAGGGGAAAAATCAGCGCGAGCTGCTTTTTGCATTGTTTCACGTCTGCACCGCGTATTACTTCTGCATGCGGAATTCGCGTAAAAAAGCACTTAAAAGCGAGCGAGTCGAGCTGGAGTCGGTGAGTCAGTCTGCTTTTTGCGCAAACCCATATAAAAAAAATAATATATATCAGACCCCATTGTTGATGGACGAAGGCATACAAAATACTCTCAATGTGTATAAAAGCGCCGAGAATAAAAAGCGCCGACTTCCTGTCCCCCGTATTCACTCTTTCTGTGTGCGAAAGACATTTCTGAAGAAAGGGCCTGTCGGCAAAGATAACACCGAGTAGCCAACACAAACATTCCGCCGACGAGATGAATATTGCATGCAATTCTAAACTCTTTTTAAAAGCGCTAGTTTAAAATTTTCCCTTCCCCCTTTCTTTTTTTTTAATATCTTCTTCGCGCCGCGTATAATCCCCGGGGGCAATTTTAATTTCGCGCAGACTTGGGAATATTCGCGCATTCATCTTGCAGCTGACAGAATGAAGAATGAACTCGCTACTCACCGACAGAGAACTGCAGACACACGTGAATCCAGACGAGGCTCCACATGAAGTATTTGCTCAACGTCGACTTCATGGCGAATTTGTTTTTTCTCTCTTGCCGCTCAGAAGCACCACATTGTAATTCGCGAACCGATTCGGAAGGGGTGCACTTCTGTCAGTCACTCGGGTGTCATCGTCGTGGACGCGGCGCCCGATTTTGTTGCCGATTCCTCGGTATAAATTAGCAAAAGCCCGTCCGGTCTTTGGCGTTGTGTGTCGGTGCGGATTATTTGTGTGTAGCGGCGATCGACGTCACTCTCACTAGCACCACTGCAAACCTCCACCATCCACCTCCATCTAGGCCGGGGGCCGGGGTGAGATTCGCCCCGTACGCCGGCGCGCTCCGCCAGAATCGCGCTCCCCGGCGCCGCGCCTGCCATCTAGCAACGTTCAGCGCCACGAACCGCAACTCGACGCGGCCTCGGATCAAAGTCACTTGTGCTTTACAACGCCCCTAGTAATGAAACAAATTCCCACCTTGGACAATCATTAAATTATTTTGTAATTTTAAAAATTCGATGCCATCCTTCAATTTATAAAATTATTTTTATTTGTTATTCTAAAATTAATAAAAAAATTTAAACTAATAATTGTTATTTCAAATGTGTTACTGACCATGATTGTTGCACTAAATTTTGTGAACTGTAGAATAAATAAGCGAAAAAATGAAGAAATTTTAAAATATTGAATCTCTAAGCAAATAATTAATTCTTATTTTATTTCACAAATAACAATGTTAAAAAAAAAAAAAATTTTAAATTTAAATATTATAGAATATTCAAGTTTTAAGTCGAGCAATGATGCCAATAAATTTTCAAGGGATTTATTACATAAAATCTATAAACAAAACAAATCTCTCCGGAAAACAATTGTCACATAATCTTCCCCTCGGTAACACGTGGCATTTTGTGGCAACCAAGTCTTAAGGGAGAGTGATCAATTAATGACACAACTCATAATTTCCTCGTGTCATTATTTATCGCCCCCCGGAATGGCAGGAGAAAAATGTATTGTAACTTCAGTGGCGAGAAGGGTGCCGATCTAGCTGCGTGTGTGTTAAAAAAAAAGCAAAAACCTATTACTTGCAGCTGCAGCGACGCACAATGCGTTCGTATTCATTTATTTGTTCATGGCGCGAGGTGCGCGGCGTAATTGCAGGCACAGAGAGTATTATGAGTGCATGTATGCCAAAGTAAGCGGCCGAGCGAAAAAACAAATATACAGTGAGAAAGCAAGAGTGCCACCGGGTCGGCGCAATATTATAAAAAAGGCACATCCGCACACACACGGTCGGCCAGTTGGACGGGGTGAGAGCAAGCCTGGCACACTTTTTCTAGCTCTATATACCATTGCAATATTAAACAGCGGCTCGGAAGTAGTGGAAAAAAAGAGAGGCGCGTGTAAATTTTAGCTCAGCACCTCTCTAGTTTTGTAGAGAGCGCATGAGAGGGGCCTCATCAAATGGATGCTATGCAGTGGAAATAATTTGAAATGAAAAGCGACGGGTACAATCCCCAACATTCTGATGGAAGCGCAGGGAAAGCTAAAACATTGGTTCTTTTTTAATGACTAAAGAAAAACAAACGCAAGATAAACAATTAATTTATAATATAAAGTTTGTAGTGTAAGTAAATATTTTAAATTGAAATATTAAATAAAACGTTTTTAACAAACTTTTAAAATTTTAGTTGAATTTTAATTTCCTTTTTTTAAATAAGCTAAAATTTTGCCTTAAATAATTAAATATAAAAGCTTCTTGATAAAAAAAATTTAATAAATAATGAAGGAAAGTCATACTATTCCACAATGGATTTCAGTAATATGATTGATTATTGCCTTGGCATTGCGTTTTTTTTTCATATCAAAGTGAATTAATTTAAGATATCGTTTTAATCATTGATAATTTATAAATTAAACTTAATAACAGAACATAATTATAAAGATTCTTTGTTTAAATAATACAAAGTATTTGTTCATTTTCAATATAAACTGGTTATTTTCTCAAGTTAGACATAAAAAATTATAATTTATTGTAGTAAAAATTTTAAGTTAAAAGTTAAATTATTATTTGAGATAAAGACAATGTTACATAAAAATTATAAGCCTATTTAATTTAAATTGAGAAAGGTGGTGATTAAAATAAATATTTAATTTCCTTCATCTCTTTGCGCATATTTGTTCTAATTAGGAAGTTTGCGAGTCGTCAAATCGTATAATATTTGAGCTCACATCAGCCTCGCAAGTCATACACGTCATGTATTTTCCACTTTCATTTAATACGGCGTGTATAATGAAATTTGAGCCTCAAGACCACCAACGCGGTGAACGCGAAGCTCGCGCGCGCTGCTCCATTTCGGCGCAAAATTTAATCCGACCGCGATCGCCTGCCGCCGTCAAAAGTCGTTGGTTTTGAGAGAGATGCGCTCTTCATACTTCGCAAACTTCATGATTGTCAAGAATTACGCGCTGCGGAGTGCGAGAACGGGCGAAACAAAGTGTGCGCCGCCGACAGAACATCCATGAAATACAAAGCCGACTTTATTGTATGTATGCATGTGGAGTGGAGGCGGATCCGGGCGCACACACACGGTTGCGTATACACGGTATTTTTATTTGCAAAACTTTGCGTGCACTCTAAACTTGCTGAAAGACGCGGTGAATGCAGAATTTGATAGAGAAGCGCTCACGAAAATTCGACAGTCACAATTCCGATTAGCAATCAGAATATTTTAAATAAAAATTGATGTCAGCGGAAATTTAAATGAAAAATACCACAAAACTCTGTGAAATTCTAAAAAAATTAAAAAAAAAATCTATATTATGGAATGGATTTGTCTTGCAAACTGTTATCCCTAATTTTGGTGATATTGAACTTTTTTTATCTCGGTTACAATGATTCTTTTTATTTGCTCATTGCCCTTGAAGAAAGCTTGTTGAAGATCATTCACTATTAAAAATCATATTTCAAGGTTTCAATAATTAATTTTATCTGAAATCCAGATCTCAAGATGCATTCCATGATTTATTTTATTCATCTGACAGTCTAAATTAAAAGTCTTCCCTTCAAAAACTAATTTATTAGTTTTATTCTTCAATCATTGAGGCTGTGATAATTTCATTGTAGAAAATTAAAAACTTAGAATAATGAAATTTACAAATTAATAAGTATTCCGGTTTTGATGACTAGAATCCAAAAGCCGGCTGAAACTCATTCTCAGGCCAAACAATTTTTTTAAATAATTTTGAATTATTTCTTTTTTCATTCGGCTTACAATGTCAAAAACTACATTTTTTAAATAAATATTCAACATTATTAAACAATAATAAAAATAGGCTATATTGTTTTTGAAAGCCAATGCAAGCAATGCAACATTCATAGTCAGTCCAGGACAGGCGAATATTTTTTTTCCCTCAAAAATTATTGAATACAACGAAGTCACTGCGGACCTAAAACAACAAAATCTCTTCACGTCCAACTTCTGTATCCGATGGAGCACATCTCCCTTCAAGAACTCCAGGGGGGTGGAACTAGCAGACAAGTAACAATGATTTTGCGCGCGGCTTTTATGCGATGGGCACGAACGAAAACTCGCTAGCAAAAGTAATCATACACTTTGCCCATTTCCCAACTCGCAGCCAGCCAACAGTCCGAGTTATGTGCGAGTTGCCGCGAATTATGAATAATTTATGTGCCACATACATACACACAGTATAAAAGTTTCGCCGCCGCAAATTGCTCGCAATAAAACATAAGCACAAACACACCCTAGCCTGTTTCTGCCGCAAGAATGGAAATACACGCGTGATAAAATGCAACACAGAATAAATCGAAGAAAGAAAGAAAAAGTTTTGTTCGAGTGCAAATTAGTTCGATTGCTTTTAATCCGCCGAAGAGTTTTTCCTTCTCCCTTGCGAACGCAATAAAAGTGAAAAGAGCAGAGTCGTGCAAACGTTGGCAATTTGAGAGTCTCGCGGGATTGCGGTATTAAAGGGTTATGGCGCGACTCTTCCTTGCATGATGAGCTGCCGCGCTGACGAGTGAGACATTCTGTCATCGGCGAGTCGCCGCGGGCTTTTCTCCTTCCTCTCTGAATTCTGTCTTTTTAGTCGGGCAGATTTCGCGAAACTTTTGCCTGCGTTAGTAGTCGGCCTTTTTTTATATCAAGTTTCTTCGCTTGATATAAAAGTGAAGTTGGCGATTCGAATTTCTGCCAGAACGGCGGCGGCGCCACACGTTGTGCTCGGAATTTGTGTGCGTTTCGTGACATTTCTGCTAAGCGGCTCTCGGCATGTTAAATACAGTGGAAAGACCTGAAAAACTTTTCTCGTGCTAGAGAGTGGAACTTCTCTGCAAGGAGGATTTGTTTTGTTAAACAAGAAGAAACGAGACAATTTAATGAGAATTGTCGAGACATGATAAATAAAAATGAGATAAATTTCATACGAATAAATAATTTAAAGACCAAAACTTAATTCTCTGGTAAAATTATTTAGGGGGAAATTCAATAGACTTAGCTATGCTCTCACAGTATAAATCCAAAGGGATAAACATTTTTTTTATAACGCCTCCAATTTTTTTTGTCCTTATTCGGGATATAATATTTTCTAAACCCATGTTAACGGTATAAACATTAAAACCACGCTATAATCAAATCAGCTGGTTATCAAAAGGTAAAAAATATGCTTGCGAACTTTTAAAATTTGGGCCAATTGACACAAACATGTAAAACTTTCTCGGATCAGAATTTAAAATAAAATTAGGGTAATATTGATATTATGTTCAAAATTTTTCCTGTTATTATTAGTACTAACGCAGGAAACTAAAAAGAAAATTTGAGGCAAAACTTAAAATTAGACGCATTCTAGATATAACTATAAAAAACATTCAGATTTTAACACAATTTTTCCATTATTTCTTCGATCTGAAAATCTTTTCAATCAAATTCTTTTGTAATAAAAAAAATAAGGTTTGAATTAAGAATTTTTTTATTCTTGCTAATTTACTATAATATGTTCAAAAAAAAAAGTGGGCTTCAATCAAAAACACACACAAAGACTCATTTCTTTAAAGAGTTTCTATATTTATTAGTCATCTTCATTGATTCTCAGCATACATATCACATTTTAATATAAATATATATTTCAAAGAAGAATCTGCAATAACAAACGAATCATATTCATCCTCAATTGGTTGGTATTTTGGTATAATAATATAGTAAAACCGAGAGATATCGTTATTTCATACAGGATAGTTACAATTTGTAATGCATGTACGTTTCCATGTGGGGGTTGTTCGTTCGGTCTAGATCGTCCTGGAATTTGACACCACGGTGCAATAACACATGCAAATTGATGGCCTGCAATTCGGTCCGACTGACACGTGTGATTGAGAGTGAGAGAGTGAGACGTGCAGGAGAAATGAATGGGACGCAGACCATTCCGAGTTAAATCAGATTTCGGTCGGTCGGTCGGTTTGTTTGACCGTGCGGTTAGGGTGGGTTGGGGGCGGGTTTATGCAGTGTAATTGGGTAGCTAGGGTGTCTGCATAATAATAAAAAACGAGGGGTAGACTATATAATTATATAGGGATGCGCCAATGTATTATATTGTCTCACTCTATAGTCGTACAAATTTTTATTTTTCCTGAATATAGGTGCCAACGTTTGTGCGTGAGTAGAATTATTTATATATAAATTTTCCCACAAGCATACTCGCGAAATATACCTTGAAATCGAGTAAGGGTCTGTTAGGTGTTTGGCTTCGTTTATTTACACGCTGGGAGCAGAAATTTAAATTAATTATCTGCATAAAAATTACATAATATACTTTGAATTGTTTGATGTTAAAAACACCTTTTGATGCGATAATCAAACATTTGAAACAATTTCAAAAAATAAAACCAATCAAATTTTGGTTTAAGTTTTCTAGTCAATTAGTTATAATTGCAATAAAAAGGTGGTGCGCTTAAATTACATTTTTACCTCTTCTCGTTCATTATTCAAGGACACTGATGTGTTCAATCATAATTAAGATAATTGGTGTATGACTACAGTGGTATCTACAATAATTCGAAACCTATTGATAATGATTTGAATTAATTTTAATTTTTATTATATAATCACTTCTCATCTCTTCACATTTTATCAAATCAAGTAGATTTTGAATTATTATTAATGTTATTCCTTTTTTTGTATTTTCATTTATTTTAATTTTAATTTGATAAAATTCGTTCCGAACTCGCAATCACTCATACCTCATACTTCTTTTTGTGCTATATAAAATCAAAGAATTCGACCAACCACAATACGCTGGTTGCTTCAATTCTCTTTCCTTTTCTCAACTCTTTGTCTGGATAACAAATTCAGCTATTATTTTACATTTCTCGCTACTTTCTGCCGAGTCAATTTAAAATTACAGGTTTTTAATTATTCTGACCAAAACTTATGGCTATTTTTTTTCTTACATGAGGGGTTGTTTCTTTATTCTTGTGTATGTGTTGCGTATATGACACTGATTATAGTAATGGATACACGCAGATAAACTTTTTCTACCCTCTGAGAAATAAAAAGTCGATAATAAGTTGTGTTATGGTTTGTATGCGGCCGCTGCTCTCATTTGAATAAATTTCAATAATCAAACAGCCAAGCCGTTTAGCAGCTCAAGGCTGCTTAATTATTCACTGGTACTAACAGCATATATAGTACTGCACTTTTGTACGATTCGCCTTTTTGCTTAATTAGCAATGGAAATCACGAGACGAACTGAATGAATCTCCTTGCCTTGCAGCGCGATACCGCAACTCAACGAGATAATGTGTATGTTTAGATAGCATGTGAATATATATTATATATGGCGGGCGTTTCTCTTTTTTCAGATTTTTTTTTCTTTTTATTCATGACGTGATATATTTTTAGAATCTCTGCTCTGTTCTTTTGGAATATATTGATTTCCAAAAACGAAGAACGCACTTAACCCATATTTGGGGGGCGACGGGAGTTGAGAACAAATTATAATTCTCCCGCTGCCCAAATCAGAAAACTACTGCATCGTCTATCTGCCGGTTTGATTCAATTATTTACAATTGTTTTAATATATTCATGAGTGGATGTGTGAGTTAAACTTCTTCGAAAGCTATGCAGCTAATGGATTTTGTAAATTAACACGCAACCAACTCCTGGTATGTACACTTGTCATGTGTCAATCAATCATAAGGTAGATTTTTAATTGGCTATACTCATTGCTTACAGGTCAAAATGTATTCAGAAATAGATTTGCAATTGTTGATATTTATAATATATAGTTTTTTAGTTTTCTACGTAATATGCGAGTTAACTTCACTATAATATTTACTTGTAACTTGAAAGAGTTTGTTTTTTTATGATTTTCGAAAGACTTATTGATTAAAAGATTGCGTTGCCGCTGTTGAAAGACAAAGTTGTGTACTCCTCTGTTGAGTATATATTTTGAAGAAAAGTTATTTTGTTCTCCGTGTGTGGGGTTTGATTTTTCCGTCGATGGTAAAGAGAGAAGGGCGAAGCAAGAAGAATAAATTGTGGTTCACACAATCAGACTGCGTCGAAAAACCAAGCATTTTTTTCTCAGCCTTTGAAACTTTCAAAAATTTTCTGTTTTGCCAAGGAAGAATTTTGTTTTCAAACTTTGAAATTTCTCACTATACAAACTTGCTCCTATAACTAATAATATCTTCATCTCAATTTACTTCAATTTCATATATGATATGTGGCATTTGCTTTTACTTCATATGACCCCGTGCGTTAGATCTCTGTATAAAAATTTGGACCGCTCGATTCAATTTGTCTTGCTTAGACTATTTTTAACTCTTCCGTATAGATTCGCACCGCAAGCCATATTTTAAAATATTATATTCTTACAAAATTCCAATCGGAACGAATTAAATATTATTTCAAATAGACTTATTCAACTTGGAAAATCTGCACTTTTAGGCTCTATTTCGATTCATTTATTTTTATACAAAAATGTACAATTTTTGCAAGCACAACATTTTTTTTCGTAATCGCTTTTCTTCCCTTTGTCATGCCTCCTTTTTTGCCAAGGAGAAAAATTTCCCTTCTTTAGAAATTATTGCATAATGGAAAACAGCCCAGCGGCATCACGGAAACCGAGCGTATACATAAAACTCTATAGTCGCTTTTAAATAAAGAATCATAATCCAGCAAGCAACTCTCTCGCGGGCGAGATTTGATTATCTTTACAAAGTAGGTTCGTTTTGTGCTGTGTGAAGGCGGGAAAACGAATCCAATTAACGTCAGAGGAAATGTGAAAGAAGAAAGTCAACAGTCTGGAGAAAGAGGGAAATTCCAGTACATATACATTCAAGAAGAAGTATATATTTTCATTTACGTGTCTAATAAATTTTTATATATATTTCAGAGATTCTCTCTAATAAAACTTTCAGCTAATTTTTCAACTACAAGCTCAGTAATTGCTATGTAGGCCAGCATGTATAAACACGTGGGACCGCGGGGAAGTCTGGCCAAAGTAATTATTTACTCACAGCGGATGAGAGGCCTTGCGGGAGTTCATACATCAAAAGGGCTGCTTTGTCTCGCGCGCCCGCACTAATTATACCTCCAACGATTTTGATTTTTCAAATATTTGCGTACTTATCAGCAAAACAACTACATTCGGCCAGCTGGTCCAGTGGTATGTGCTTTTTGTGTCAAGAGCGAGTTGAGGAAAAGACAGTTTCTATTTATAAAAATGACGTGTGATCAAAAATGGACAGAATAAATCGAATCTATTGCAAAACCTGAAATCTATTTTATTGAGATAGAGAGAGGCAACTACGAATTGACTTGATTTTTTTTTTATTATACAAAATCTCTGCGTTTTGGACCCGGAAAACTCGCTTTTCCTCAACTCCGCGGGGTGCAGTCGTATTTTTATATTGCATGGAGTTTTTAGACTAATATTTAACCAGGCATTTTCCTCGTTTTGCAAGTTTTCCATAATTAAGCTTGAATTATTTACAGCTTTTCTAATTCAAATCCGTATAATTTTGCCTTTCAAAAAAAAAAAAAAAAAGAGTCCTTTTTTAGGGGAAGGAAAATTTTCGGCCAGATCTTAATTGAAAGGTTAAAAGCTACCAAAGTTGAAGTATAAAGTTGACCTTTTGAAACTTGTGACTTTTCCGATGGCGGTTCAAAAATATTTTTCTGCTTGTGCTTGGATCTAAAAATGGAAAATTTAACTTTTGAAGCTTGAATGAGGCCCGGCGGAAAGTGTGAATATTGCATGCGAAAACAACACGATTTTCACAAACATTCAAATGAGTGTGGATATCGATTAGAAATCAGTTTTCGTTAGCGCTCCCCGTGCGGAATGTTAGATTTGCTTTGAGTTGAGGTCACTGTCCCCCCTAGAGGGAGAGATAGTGTGGCAAAAATATTATCCGAGGTGATTTACGCCGGCTGGTGGCGGGTTGAAGGAGGATTTCGGCGTGCAATTTATGTCTGATCCGCCGTCGCTCCCCGCGCAACTGCATTTAAATACGCTGCAGTTCCCGCTGGAAATCGTAAACAAACTGGTGGCAGATGAGAAATGGGACTCGCAGGAAATTGCTTCAATAAACTTCAGCATTTTGGGGGAGAAAATTGCAAAAATGGGATATGGGATTTTCAAGAAAAAAAAATAGGGTTGGTAAGATTATTTTTTCTTACCAAGAAAGAAGAGGTTTGTTATCAGATTGGCTTTAAATTGTTTTTCTCTAGAATCCTCCTGATACCAGCCACCCATGACGTCCAAATAAGTAATGGAAAATTAACTTTGTTACATTCAAAAATTCATTTACTTATCTAATTATTGTATGAGTCTTTCCAAATTCACAAACGAGATTTCACATACCTCGATTTCTCTCTCTACCTATATTTAAATATTATTATTATAATCGTTTAAAAGTGAAGCTTGCTATGTATAATTTTAATTGTATGTACACGCACATCTTTTGACTTCATGTTTTGATTAGGCCTTTTTGAATCAATAATTCAACAACAATTTTCAAATGCAATCCCCATATCATTTTTTTTCTCGCCGTCGTCGTAATACGGTAGACTATATTTATAATTAATTAACTAGGTTATTACTTTAATATTGCGTCGTCTCTCCTTAAAACCAACCAATGTACAATTATTATTTTCCTAAAAACTACAATTCCAGGAATCCTCTTGTTTGTTTCACAGGACAGTCCGGCGGTGTCACAAAAAGTGTCTAAAATCCTGCGCTAAAAAAGTCCAAAGAGGCCCCAGAGTCCACTGCCTCATCAGCTCTTCTCTTGTTGCGGCCGGTGGACATCGGCCGCGACGTCGACGGCGGCCTCGTCGGGCGGACTCTGGGCAAGGGGGTGCGTCCACGAGTGCGGCGCGAATTCGTCTTCGCCGTCCGAGTCGCACACGCGCTGGCTGAAGGCGCGCCAGCCGTCGCCCGAGTTGTGCAGCGGGTGGAGGAAGCCTGCGTTGGCCGCAGCCGTCGCCGCCAACTCGTCCGGGTCCAGCTCGCCCAATGAGAAGCGGAAGTTTCCCAGAGGGTCGTCGTCGGGCTCATCCAGACCCGTGTCCGTCGTCGGCACCGACGGCGTCTCGTCGCCCATGATGATGACGGTTGGGATGCCAGGGGTGCCCGCAGAGGTCGCGTCGATCAGGTGCCGAGCGCCCATGAAGATTGCCTGCCAACAAATTTACAAATTTTGGAACTTTAGTTTAAATATTTAAATTTTGCGTCTATGATGGATATTATCAAATATCCCATGCTATGCAATAAAAGTAATAAAAATCCTATGAATAAATTTATAGTTTATTAAAATTCTATTTGAATTCATATATAAGGGAATTCAAATCCTGTTGGGTTCTTTGTGATTGGAAAATAGGTAATAGATAATTTGTTGTACATGAACTAAAATTTACTAATAAATTCCAATAATATAGTTTAGTTTATTACCCATTTTCACTTCCCCCCCCCCCCTAAAAAAATCATTTTTTCTAGCCTGATCGATGTAAATAATATTTTAATTAGATCAATTGGTCTGAATCCCATCAGAAGGCAAGGGCAAAAATCCATGTGGAATTTGTGCGCTGCTCAATAACTATCACAATTTTTACATTTAATTAAGATTTTTTTTCACTTCCAATATAATATGTAAGTAGTATGTATTAATTTTATGAAAAATTAATATAACAATAAAATATAATACCAACGATCCAGAATACTCATTATTATGTTTAACAATTAGCAATGGTTGGTATTTGATTTCACAATATTTAATACTATTTTCTTTTTTAAATGACTGGCCATTTACTTTTTTTAAGCATTCCTATAAAAAATATGACAAAATTATAAATACCTAAACTAAAAGCTTTAAGAGGAAAAATAAATATATTATATATAATAAAAAAATATTCCAATAAAATCAAATAATATATTAAAACATTTTTAACAAATATAGTTTTTTAGTTAAACACATTTTCTTAAAGTTTAATTACTAAAAAATTAATTGCATTATTAAAATTTTTGTAAATTAAAACAACTTTACTCATTCACAGCCAATTTATGTTAATTAATCTCACACAACTTTATCGACATCCTCCGCAAGCGCCGTTGTAAGTTGAAAAAGCTTTCTTACTTAATGGAAAGTGCAGTAGTGTGTTTTGCCGTGAAAATTTTTAAAGCAACATTATTTGGTAGACACGCAAGAAGTTGATTCATTACGGCGAGATTTTACAATGCAGAATAATGTGTCACGCGCGCACTCTCCCTCTTTTCCTTCATCCTACCTTGAAACGGCAGCCGGGCCTTAAAAAGTGTTTCGCCCAGATGGTGGGATAAGAAAGCGTGCTTTTATTATATTTTGTGTATTGCCAGGCGCTTTCAAAACAAGAAAATAAAGTGGGAGCGATATTGTTAACGTGAGCGACAAGTTAGCGTTGCTTTTCAGGCTATCAAAAACACACACAATTTAAATTTAAATATTAATCGCCGCGGAAAGATTGGCTTGAACATATTTAGAGCTTTATTAAATTTTGCTCACCGAGTTTTCATTAAATGAGATATCGGAAAAAAATTTCACATAATCATCAAAATGATTTTTTTTACACAAACGAGGTATGGAAAATAATTGCAAAATAATATTCAACTGGGTCCTTCTTTTCTTTAATTTTATGAAAATTTAAATAATATTCAAGTTTTGCTTTTCAGTAACAATTATTTAAAAAAAAAAAAAGTTATGCTCACCTGAGAAGGAAGGGGAAGACCCAGCCATGTGTTGATCTCGTGCGTTTCGCTGACCGACGAGCCAGCGTCAGAAGCGCGAGACGATTTTCGCGATCCCACATAAGAAGTGGAGTTTCGGCGGATGTGCAAAAAGTTGGAAAAGCCTCTCCAGCCGTGTTGGTTGCCGCCGGGACTAGAGGTCTGCGTCTCGCCGTCCTCCTGGTCAACGCCCTCCCTCTGACTGTCTTGTTGACGCCTAAAGAGCGAATTTCACGGGTCATCGAATGAATTCAAGAGGGAAAAATTTTTGAAAGAGGGGAAACTTGAAAGTTCAAATTTACTCAACAATCAACCGAGTCTATGAAAAATAATTTCATCAATTTTGGGATTTATTAAATTTACAACTATATTGATATTACAGATTTGATAGTGAAATATATTAATGAAATGATTTGTCCTGCGTTCATTGAGGGTTAATCTTTAATGATCATAGGGTTGGTGTACATGCTTTTAATAGCTGCAATGATGCTGTTTGACGAGGAGGAAAAATAGGAATATTTTTAATGGAAAAATAAATTACTGCATTAATTTATTTTTGAAAATAAATACTTCTTACTTAACTATAATAATTGTAAATATAACCTAAACACTATAATTGAAAACAAGAAAGATTTTATTTTATAAGAATGTAATATATGATAATTTAAATTATGTTTATTCATGATCTTATTTTTAGAATCACAAAGCTATATGGAGCAATAAAATGGATTTAATTAAATGGAAATTGCATATTTATAATATTTTAAAATTGTATTGCATATAATAAATCAATCATTATCAATCTTTTTCTTTGTCATTTTATTGTTTAGTTTGATTGATTGCTGGACTGAACGCATAATTTTTAATTTTTTTTACAAATCAATTATTAATGGTATCCCAAAAAACCACTTTAGGCGTTTATGAGGCAATCTTTTTAAACTGGGGGTTTTTTTTTTTAAACGGCGGGCGTTTAACATGGAAATATTTAAAACACATAAATTGAGGTGCATACCTATAATACATGGAAACATCGATAAACACAATGAAGGAATCACCATCAAAAGACACTGTACAACACTCATACGTTTATATATCGTGATATGCATGCAGGATTACAGGTAGTGAAAGTCTCCGAGATTTTAACAATTGTCCTGAGAGGATGTGCTTGCTTGCTGGAGGTTTGGCCTGCGCAAAGGAAAAGACAGTGTCAGCACAAGACATGCAAAATGAGGTGGAAGAATTGACAAACATGCTATCACACCATCGCAAATAAGTATGTAAAAGAAAAATATTGAACCGGGATCAAAAGGTACAAGATGGACCAGGGCCAGAGAAAAAAGTATCTTGAAAGCCCTGGCTGGGAAAATAATGATTTTTATCAACAAAATTATGAAATCAATAATGGCACACTTAACCACGCCTGCCTATGTTTGTGTTCGAGGGTGTCCTCTGAAATTAATTAGTAATTTTGGTGTCAGCGAAAAAGGTGTACACACAGTTATATATATGCGGGCGTGAGAAATGAAATGAAACAATAATTTTAATATAATTATATTGCGTGTGTGGGTCGGGTGGTATTTTATAATATCTGCATGGTTGCGTGGTGTGCGATAATTATATACGGCATAATTTTATATGTTTCGCTCAAACCATTAAAAGTTGAAAAAGTATATAATGTGAGAGAGTGGGCTATTATTTTTATATGAAGTTTTTGGTCAACACAGTGCGTTACGAGGCGTTTATTTTTACAACAGTTATGTGCACAATTATGCAGGTATCAATCAATTGCGAAAATTTTCTATTTAATCAAAAAGTGTCTAAAAATTGGATGCATATTATTTTATTTTGGTTTTTTTATACAGGGGGTTGATTGATACCTACAAACACATACACAAGTTTACAGTGTGTTCACGTGTGTGGGTGTTACTTATTGATGCCGATCAAAGCATCAACATTTAGATATGGTGTGTGATAGTATTAGTTATATCAATTAGCTACATGGCTTAGTCACCCTTGTTTTGAGTGTCTCCTAAATGATAAACGAAAGGATGGGCGGCGTTTACTGGAAACTTTCCGTTTCACCACTTCCTCATCCCCTCTGAAAAAGAGATTGCGGCTGAAAAATACACGTCAAAAACTCCTGGTTTTATTATGGGGATTAATATATATTGTCTTGTAACAGCGGGTTCAAGAGAAATTTTTATGATTCCTAGAACAGTAAAAGTCTCAGGCAAAATATCATGTCTTATAGAAATTTGTGTCCATACATGCAAATATATATAGGATTCGCTGAAAGTTGAGAGAAAAGAGACACGTTTTTGTTTCCCAAGTGCTTGAAACTTTTCGACATGCTAAGAGGGATGCAAATTTTCTTTTCATTTCTTATATAAATTTTTCAGTAAGGAGAGAGGCTGAAATTCTGTATTGGATGCGAAGTCCGAAACTCATGAACACAAAATTTAGAAACTGACCTCTTGTAGTGGCGGTAAGCTCGCTGGATTATCTTGGCAGCCTTGTCGCGCCTCTTCCACATACGCGTGGACGAAATGATCTCCAACTCCTTCCTCGTCGGGAACTGCTTCTTGAACTTGATGTCCATTTGCTCACGAAGCTGAGGGTAGACAATATAGATTTTTTTCATCAAAAAATTGAGATCATTTATAATGGGCCAATTTGGATCCTGAAATTATTAAAATAATAAATCGAAAAACCAGAAAATGGGCGATCACTTTTTTAATCTATTTACATTATTTTTTCAGAAAAAACCTAAATTCACTCATAAAGCTCAGATATAATATTCGATGATTAAAGTTTAGGTTGAAAACCCACATTTATTTAATTTAAATCACAGGAATTTCTTCTTTTTCAGTTTTTAATAAATCTATTACTATCTATGTTGATTGTCGATCAATAATTTGTAAAAACGAAATTTTATCTGGAATCGCCTATTTTCAGAAAAATATATATATAAAAAAAAAAAAAAAAAAAGTAAAGACACACCAAAAGACTAAATGTTGGCATAGGAAATTATATCCACTATTTATCAATTTTATTTCTACATATAAAAGGAAGCTAAGCACCAAAAATATTTAAATAATAATAATAATAATAGATAAAAAAAAGCAAAGAAATAATTTGTAAATGTATTGGATTTAACATAAAAATTTGAAATCATCTTCAACGTTATTAAGATGAAACTTGTACCTTTCTAAAGTCATCAGTCTCCTCAACGTGGCCCAAAACGTGCTTGACTAGTGAGTGCAAAATGTCTAAGCAGTGAATCTTGTCGCCTTTCGCGATGGGAAGGTTGAAGCTGACCAGAGCCACGTTGTTTGGTTTCGCAATCCCAAGTGGAGGGTCCAGACTGGATATGAAGTCTGATAATTGCGAGAACCCGATGAACTGGGTTGCGTGGGGGTCATACCTATTAGAATTGACAAAAAAAAAACATTTGAAAGGCAACAATTTAAAAATTTAATGTTTAACTACTATAATTATTTAAAATAATACTGTTCGTACTTTGACCATCTGATGTAAAACATCTCGAGGTCGTCCTCCACGATCCCGATTTCCTCTTCTTGATGCGCTTGATTGAAGTTCTCCAAAATAATGGCAATGTACATATTGATCACAATCATGTAATTAATGATGATGAAGCTGACAAAGTAAGTGATAGCTAGGAAGGGTTGGCCACAGTCTCCGTTCGGAAGCTGGTCTTTCTTGGGGTCACACTCGGGCGGCTCAACCATCAGCGAGTCTAGAACGTCATTCCAACCAGCGGAAGTCATCAGCCTGAATCATGAATAATTTTTTTTATTTTCTTGTAACTACCGAGTTTGGTTTTTTAAGTAAAAAAGAAAAGTTTTTTGGGCCATGGTGAAATCCAAAATTTCAACAAACAAAGCATATTGGAGATTAAAACAATTTGATTAACTTTTTAAATCAAAAATTTATCTTAAAAAAGCCCAATTTTTTTCAATTGACTCAGATGCAATATGGTTTATTTTTGTTCAAATATATAAAACAATTTCTTCTCCTAAAACGTTTGTTAATTTTAAATTTTTTTTTTAAAGCAAGGAATTACCGGAACAGCAATTGCATGCTGCGGCCAAAAGTGGTGAAGTTGACCATGTCATCGAGTGCGCCTTGCTGTCTGACATGCCCAAATAGAGACATGCCGATTATGGCGTAAATGAAGGTAATCAGCGCCAACAGCGCTCCAATATTGAACAGGGCCGGAAGAGAAACGATCAGGGCAAACAGCAATTTGCGAATGCCCTTGGCAGCCTGTGGAAATCACATTGGTTTTATTTTGATATTTCTCGGCAAGGAAATGAGAAATTTGCCTTAATAAGCCGAAGGATTCGACCAATACGGAAGACTCTGACTACTCTAAGGAGCGTGGGCGACACGGGCAGATCCACCATCATATCTTCCATGACGATGCCAAGAATCGAGGCCATCACCAGAATAAAATCAAACAAATTCCATGGCACCGTGAAGTAATGATATCGCAGACCAATTATTTTCACAATGGCCTCTGAAAAAAATTGGAAGGAACATTTTGTTAAAAATATTATGTGAAATTAATGTGGATTTTGTCAGTATAATTTCATAAATTTGACATACCCAGGCCAAAAACTGTGGTGAAGAAGGCGTTGCTGACCTCAAGAACAAATCGCACCGGCGCGGACTGATTGTAGTGCTCAATGCCCATCGACAGCATGTTTAAAAATATCAACACGAAAATTGCAATTTCGAATCTGGAAATATATGAATATGTTCATTTTATTTCAGTAATTTGAAAAGTAGTGAGCTATTACATAATATAATCTTATCACAGGAGTATTTATTTATAATCTATGGTATTTATTACAAATTTAATGTTTCTCTTGAATAATGCAATTTTTACGATTATTTTAACTTTCAGACTGAATTAAGGTATATGTGTTCTAAATTAATAAGTAGAAATAAATAAAATCCATAGTTCAAACAACCAATGTACTTTGCAAGATATATTATACATTCATACATGCATGTAACTAACAACAAATAAAATTTGTTTGTTTTATAAGCAAATAGGACCAGTTTTAAATTTCATATTTCAATTCAATCTATAAAATGTAGCAAAATAAAATATATTTATAAAAACAAAACTTTTTTAAAATATTTGATAAAAGAAAAAAATTACACTTATGAATTTAATTAAATAATAGTGTTTAGATAATAATTATTTTTAAACCTAGTAAATAATTGATGTTTATATTTATATATTTAATTTAGAGCCAGCTTGACAGCGCGACAGACGATTTCTAATTCAAAGCGCCTAATGACACGCACCGTCTCGAGTTGGAGAGGTCGTAAAATAGGGCCAAGAACTGGTTCCTGGGCCTCTTTATCACTTTCTGTGGCTTTTTCCTGCCCAGCTTCTTCATCGCCGTGTAATAGTGCTTCTGACTCTCCGTCAAGAACATCTCCAGCACCCCGCCTTCGTACTGCAAATGAGAGAAATTTATTCAGGCAAATATTTCCAAGATTAATGACACTCGATTTCGGCCACTGACGGACAGCTGGGAGGAAGAATTCGTTTCACAGACCTTTTTCTTCAGCATGTTGAAGTTGTCGATGATCACTCCGATGAAGAGGTTGAGCGTGAAGAACGAGCCGCAGACAATGAAGATGACAAAGTACAAGTAGGCGTAAATGTTGGCCTCCTTTTCCGGCTGAAAGTCTATTTCTCGGGCGTCCGTCGCATCCGCCATCACCTCCATCCAACCCTCAAAAGTTGCCTACAAAGCAATCGCTCGTTAGTAAAAATCGTTTTTTCCATCTCTTTTTTTTCATTTTTCGTACCACTTGGAAAAGCGCCAGATAACCTTGGCCCACGTTGTCAAAGTTGATCTTTGAGTTTATCCACGTATAATTGTTAATTTCACAGTCGTTTCTGTGGTTGACAATCTGAAAGAAGCAGGTAATATAGGATAATAATAAGGAAAGAAAATATACTGACCGAGATGTCGAGTTTGGTGTTGTTTGCGTCTACGCATTTGTAGAATTTTCCACCGAAAAACTGCACACCCATGATGGAGAAAATGAGCCAGAAGACAAGACACACCAGAAGTACGTTGAAGATGGACGGTATTGCGTACATCAAAGCGTTAACCACAATCTGAAACATTAAATATTTATTATTATTTATGTGACAGCGACGCAAAGTATAACAGGAAAGTATAATTTTCTCTTCGCATATAATAATATTAAAAAAATCTTAAATAATTACTAATTACTTTAAATAATTATCTAGAATTTAAATAATGGAATCAAAACGTTTGGAGATTTAAAAAAAAAAGAGGAAAGGACAACATAATTATTAATTATTTTTAATGAAATTGTATCAATTTTTAATTCCGAAAAAAAAAACTGAAACACCTAAAAGAAAAATTTCAATAAATCTTTGAACAACAAAAAATTCCCGAGCCATAAGGGTGGTTTTGCAGATAAAAATATTTTAAACATCCCCTTATCTGCATTTTAACATTTCTTTCCTCAAAATTTGGTTGCCAAATTGATTGTGAATAAAAAAAGGGTTAAAAAGTAATTACTGCCATCAATTTTGCGTTACATTTTGAATATCAACTAAGCTGTACTCTCCTGGTAATAAATAAATAAACTGCGTCTCATTTGCAAATTCATGTTGTTCCGTCGCAAGCCCCGATCGTGTGTCATTAAAGCAGCGCAAAAAGCGCTAATTAGTTGCCGGCCCGAACAGTTTGCGATGATTAATGAGCGATAGGAAAGGCCGCTCGCGCGCCCCACATCATTGATTGCAATTATAATCGGCAACTGCCGGCGCCTGCGGGTCTCGCGAGTTATACAACCGGCAGCGCCGATATGCTAAGCAGATTGCTTGCATCCATTCGGGCGGAATAATATTGTCACAGCTTGGCTCGGCTGCCACTGGTGCTGCTGATGGGATTATAATTCTGCTAAACTGCATACATTGTGGTGCATGACGAGCAGTGTGGGAAACTATTACGATGCAACTTATAATATTGTTATTAAACTTATTATGCACACTTTGGCAAATATGCAGAGCAAAGTTTGAGCTAAGAGAGAATGGCGTCTAATCGAGCCGGGATAAATCTTGTTTTGCCAGAATTTAGCTGAGCTAATATTTGCTAGGAAATTATCACGGGATTTGTCTCAAGACAAGACCTCAAGGAAATTTAATCTGACATTGCGACTCATTCCGCTCTTGGAATTAGAGATATTAATAATTAATAATTAATAATTAATATAATTTGAATTTTATGCAGATTTGTTAAGTGAAAGGAATTATAACCAATAATGTATAAAAAAGACAATTTGCTAAATGTATAAATGGAATTTCCTGGCAATCTTCTTAAAACATATATTTTTCAAAATTAAAACAATGTGATTTAAAAATTGAAATAAGACAGGCTTTTCCTCGTAGAAATTTTTTTCGTTGCAAATATAAATGGCTCATTTTGAGAAAGGACGAAAATATCAACAATGAAAAGGTCGTCTTTGAATTAATGAGCGTCTTCTCTTGAATTAAATTCAAATTTTCTGAATAACAATTCAATTTAATTGTCAATGTCATCTAGTTTACATTATATTCTATTATTTTTGCAATAAATTAATTTGAACTTAAACCTTTAAAGATATGAATTTTAATTTAATGTAAGAAATATCCTGAATGTTCTACTAGAATAAAATAGCCCTAATTGCAAGTGGTAATAATAAATTATAACTGTAATGCGTCTTTTAATCATTTTACTCACTCTCATTCCCTGCCATCGTGAAATCGCCCTTAAAGGTCGCAGCGCCCTGAGTGTCCGAAGAGACCGCAAAACCTTCAAATTTTCATTATCTTCAATTGCTATACTGAAGACTGACACCTGTAACAACATAAAAATAATTAAATTTCTGTGTTTTCTAAAAATCCCAAAATTGATAAAAAAAAATTAAATTAATTTGAAAAAATATAACTATTAAAAGGCTCATTTAAAATCATTTGCTTTTTACATCTGAATCATCATATTATCCATAATTGGATTTTTCGTATAAAAAAGGTGATTCGATGCTTTTGAAATTTTTTAGATTTAATCAGTTTTGATAATAGATTAGCAATAAAAATAATTAAACTGCTTACAAAGACAATGATGAAGTCAAGCACTGTCCAGAAGCTGGTGAAGTATCGCCAGAAGCCGAGGGCGATCCACTTGAGCAACATCTCGATGATGAAAAGAACGCAGAAAGTGAGGTTGGTCCAGTAGAGGATGGTCTTCAGCAGGGGGTTCTTGTCCAGGTGGATGTCTTCGAAGCAGAGGGTGACGCTGGAGGCGAAGATCATGACGAGGACGACCCACTCGAAGGCGGGCGTGTCCACCACATCGAGCACGGCCTTGCGGACGGAGAAAAACCACCTTCCGACGGGCTTCTCGTGCAGCGTGTTGCAGCACGGTGACCTGCGGAAGGGTGACAAAAATTAGCCTCAAAGGGCTGACGAGGGGTCGCCGGCCAGGGCAGCCGGCTCGGACACTCAACAGTTACAGAGACGCCAAGGTCCACTACACAGGGGTGGTTGGAGCTGTGCGCTAAATGTATGGAAATGGATGCACAGAAAGAGAGAAGAGAGACAGAGCAAGAGAGAGAGAGACACACTCAGAGTAGTGGGTGAGATTACACTCATTTTGCAGGATTGCTTTTGCTCTGCGCTACACACACTTTTTGCTTGCCGAGCGTGAATATTATCAGAGAGTCGCTTTTTATACAAATGTATACAGTTGGCTACTAGGGCACATCTAGAGGAGAAGCTGTTGTGTTCAAAGGGTTTTTTGTTCCGTGTCAGTCTGTAGGGCAAGGAGATGGGACGGGATTTTATGGTGATGAGTTTTAATGGCTGCTGAGAGACAGAGAGAGAGAGAGGATTGGATTTTTTTTACGATTGTCAGTTTTAGAATATTTTCCAGCTTTAGCGTCACACTTCTGTGTGTGATTTTTTTATTAGCAATGTCGCCTGAAAATGGAATGCAAGATTATGGTTAGCAAGTTAAAAATATTATTGTAAAATTTAAAACATGAGAAAAAAACCATTCGAACAATCTTATTTTAATTTTTTCCAGCAAAAACCAACTTTTAAATCCAGCTAGGTTTTTGAGATGTGGGAAATTTGGTTTCTATTTTACTGAAATTACTTCAAATTACTTGACTCAACAGTGCTGAACAACTGTGCTGAAATGATTCACTATTTGTGCTTGATTCAAAGTGAGATTTACTTGGGGGCTTTTTAAAAATAAAAAATAAATAAAAAAATGTTAAATTAAAAATTTTTTTTAGTTTTCTGTAAATTTCAGTGTCAGTCAGTTTATGTTTATCTTTTGAAACTGGAGCAAGAACAATTTCATAAAACAATGAAAATGTTATTGATCCAGTTTGTCGGTAAGTTTTTGTTGGGAAGTAAATTAATCCCAGAAAAATGCCAAATCATTCAAAATATTAGTTGAAAACAAATCATAAACAACATGTCATGCTATTTTTAATCTATTCAAAAATAAAACCCACTTAAATTCTACACACGTAATTAACTAAACACCACAGAAAAAAGAAACACCAAACGAGCTTTGATAGACTCTTTCCGCGCACATGGCCGAGAGAAAATTAAGAGACAAAAATCAAACTGGGACTTTTGTGAAAACACCGGGTCAATTAAGCGATAGGCCGTGTGTGAAAAGTCAGAAGAAAAAAATTCAAATTTTGACACCCACCTTTCGTACCAGTTGGTTGGAAAGCAGGACTGCGGGATCTTTTCAGGCTTCTTGTGACCGATGCCCGGGAATTCTCCCAGGCCATCGATGAATTGACCTTTCGAGTTTCTGCGTCCGCCAACTGTAATTTCATCGACGTAAGAAACTACCCGATTCCATTTTGGTTTTCCAGGCAACGTGTGTGGTTGACAGAGAGTCTCACTTTTCTCGTCTAAAGATTTGGTCTCATCCTCCGTTCCCGACGCGTCGGCCGCCGACTCTTGGTGCCGGACGATGCTCTTGGTGCTTTTGATTTCGTCCAACTCGATCCCTTCCTCCGTGTTTGAATCCGTCGCTAAACAATAGTATCAAATTAAATCTTATAAAAAGTTAATAAAAATGGTTTTATTATAATTTTAAATAAAGAGTTTTTACTATTATTAAAATTTATTTTACTTCTCTATATTTTGATATTTTTAGTACAAAAAATAAAATTTATTTTGATTCAAACTAGTGAACTTGGAATTGTTTGTACATGGGAATTTTCTTTTACTAAAATCTAAAAAAAATCATTTATATAAAACTATTCCCAAATTTCAAGGGAATAGAAAGTAATTTCAATTTTTGGTCCAGCATTGTCTTCTTGATGTTTAGATAAATTGTAATAAACATTAGAATAAAAGTTCTAGTATAATTATTATAATTAAAACATATGGGCAGAAAATGCCTCTGTGATATATCAATAAACATCTTTTGCAACTAAAAACAGATCATTTCATTTCACAACTCCCACAATGTGGCTTTGCAAGAATGTTAAAGACTCTATCGAGCAAAGTGTGTTATTTGGCACACAGTCAACCTTTATATCCACAAAAGAAAATTGTTTACTCTTCTCATTTGTATAACTCAAGCTGCGGGACGAGACAACAGACTTGAGAACCACCCTCGCTTTCTTCTCGTTTCTTTCATTTTTGTTTTCTGAGGAGTCTCGAAAAAAAGATGAAAGAAACGCTCATTCTTGTTATTTACAAAAAATTCCGCCTCGAAATTGCGTGACTCGCGGTAACTAGCGAGAGCGTGAACGCTCGTTCGCCTCCTTATTTTGCATTCACAACTCCCTTCGTGGGGGTGGCTGAACTTTGGCCTTGTATTTGCAAGAACCATTACATCAATCGAAGTCTATTTCAATTTTCAATTTCTCTTCATTGTTTAGTTTCTTGAAATTGCATACATGAATACACACAATTCACATAAATTGATCGAAATAAGCAAATCAAGCAAAATATAATTTTTAAGTAATTTAATAACACAACTAAAATAGATTATTTTTTATTTTTAATTGAATTTATGAATTTATGCCAAATTGATTAATGATAGTATTTTTATAACGTTTTTCACTGGACAAAAAACATGCCTTTCTGTGCTTTTAAAGATCAAAATTCTTGTTTCTATTAATTAATTTTTTCTATAGTTTTTAGATGAAATGGGTAAAAAATTAAAAATAAAAATTTGCACCTCACTCTGGCTCTAAAACGGAACACCTTTTGTTCAGAAATATTTGAAAAATAGGTCTGCTTTCAAATTCAACCTAGGAAAAAATCATAAGTATCAGAAGGAACTCCCATAAATCAGAAACAAAGGGAATCTTTAGGGCTCGCAATAAGAAGAGCTTACGCGTCCTCAAACATTGAGAACAAGAGATGCGGGGAGGCCATCGAACGGACCAAACAAAGGGGAATTAGCAGAACCCATTGAGAAACACGCGTGTAATCTTGAAAGAAAGGAAATCGGATTACCTTTGCTGTCCTGCTGGCAGAGCGGCTCGTATTTAAACTTGACCTGTTGCTCAAGCATCTGGCCGCCGACGGCGCCTTCCTCGGGCCTCTCGTCCTCGTCGACCAGATACTCGACCGGCACGCAGGCCGGCGAGGCGGCCGTCACGGCCATTGTGATCCCGCACTGCAGGTCCTTGCTGCGGGTGCGCTTCTGGAAAATTGACTTGATGCGCTCGACACTCCGCGCCAACTTCGAGTCGTCGCCCACTTCCTGCGAATTGCAAATTTGCCTGATTAATTTTGCTCATAATGACGTCTGGAACGAAAGAGTTATTTGTAAAGCAGATTATTATAGTCACAAACATATAATTTACAAAACTTCACGTCAGATGTTCAACCTTAAAACAAATTTGAAACGCAAATAATTGTATTGAATCATAAGGAATTAAAAAAAATGTGGAGTGGATTTTAAGACAAAAATAAAGGTGAGTTGAGGACATTTAGAACCTCTAATATCGCTTGTTTCAGTTTAAGTAAAAGAAAGTGGAGGTAATTTCTGAGAAATAAAAATAAAATAATAATAAATAAAAAGCATTAAAATTGGTATTCAAAATACAGCAAAAAAGTCAAAACCCAGCTGCTGACATCCTGCGATTTCTTCAGAAATTTCATCAAATTAAACCACATAATTATTTCCTTCCAGCAACAAATTCATAACAATCTGCTGCAGTGTTGGTTAAAACGACTGTTTTGGCTAATTCAGTTATTTTTAGTTCAATTAAGGATGTTCGTCTCTGTAGAAATTTTGTGACCTTTTTGCTTTTTAAAAAAATTTTTTTTTTAATAATATAATTAATCTCTAACTTTTTGATCTAGCAAATTTTTCATTTATACAAATTTTAATTGCAAATGATCTGTTAACATTTAATTTTAAAAGAAAAACCAATTTTATTGAAAAGTGGGTCTCTAAATAGAGTGAACGTTAAAATGATGAGAGTGAATATATTTTCCACGCCTCCCAATTCCCTATAGAATTATTCGCCGCGAGCATTTCCACTGCGAGATCAAACGGCCAGTGCATTATCAAACACATTGGAATAACTTAATCGACTCCCATTCCATTGATGCACAGTGAAATTACCACCGAGTTGGGAAAAAAGTATCCATGCATAATACAATATCACTGTTATATGATAACAACGACGAGTTTCTAAACATCGTCAACACAAAAGGGCCTATCATGATTACCGAACATCACCGCAGCCAGAACGCGAGAAAACGATTCAAATCGCGATGATTGAATATTATTGACTGGAAAAGTGACTTCACGTGTGTCCCTGTTGTGTGTCGAATCGCCGGATGGACGGCTTATGTAAGTTAATAAATTGCTATTTGGCGAACGCAAAATTGAATATGAATAATTCAGTCGGCGGCAATTGAAATGGGTGTTGATGAAAATTCGCGGATTTGGGACAAAGGGACCTGACGAAATCTCAATGAATTATTCACCGCGCTGGTGTTGGTCGGTCGGGTGGTGTGTTTTGGACCGGTTCGCATCACGGTCGACGCGCGCGTGGCGCGGGGTAAGCACATCTGGACAATCGTCGGGTGTGTTTGCAGGGCCATTGTTGTTCTGTACATACATGATGTGTACACCGGAATTTATTCCCGAATGTTGCGTACCCCATGCATGAATGCGCCCGGCGTTGGTGGAATTAGTTCGTGTATGGAAGGTTTAGCGCTGGATTTGCACAAATTTCCTATCAGCTCGTTAATCAATGTCAAAATGTGAAAACACAAAAAAATAAATAATATAATAAACCGTCATTGACACCCAGCCAGTGGCAGAAGGAGTTGTCTTCAGTGGAAAGTCCGATATTCGTCGCTAGCAAATAAATTAATTCTTACTGAATAAGTAATCATATCATATAAAATTTATAATTAGTGTCATTTCCACTGTAAAGCATTGCATTTCTAATTGAAAAAATTAAGGAAGATTAATAGACTGGAAAGAAGTCTAAAAAAAAACTAGCCATGTGAAATTCTTATTTAAAATCGTCCAATAAAAATAGTTGAAAATTGAACTATCAATTTTTTTTATCAATAATTCGATTTTTGAAGAAACATATTTATTTTACGCGTCATTTTGACAAGAAAATGAATTTTTCAATAACAACTTGTTGAGTTTCCACGCGCAGATTTTTAGTTATTATACGAACTGATCTTAAAACAACAGTTTATTCCTGCAATTCTATTCAAAAATAATATTCCACTTCATCATCAAAACGATGAAAGACCATTATGAAAGCAATTATTAGCCACAATTAGCAATATTAGAATCAGTGAACATGTTTTTTGTTGTTGTATCCCTTATTTAGTGTTAATTGTTTAAATTTAATTTTCATGATAAAGTTAACATAAACCCTTTTATTCAAGAAATAAATGAAAACCTTAATGGATTAAAACGGTTAATTATAGTGTTAAGAAGCCCTTGCGGTTAATTTGTTACAATAACCGAACAACATTTATAAATTTTTTTCTTTCTTTCTCAACCTGTCGCTTCCGATTCTTCAACAAAAGTCGCAATTCTCTCCAGAACCTCCTGAAATTTCGCCTGTGCTGCTTCAAGCGTCTGAGGTACTCCTCGAATTCCTCCTGTACGATCGCAGTCAAGGAGAAAAATCAATCGCGAGTGTGGGAGCACATTTGAGCGTCAATTTACATCTTGGGGCGGCAATTTTTTTCGCGCGCCTCTCATTCATAATGCAGACGGCCCATGGTCAATTTCGAGAGAGAACGATTTCGGTGGGGCCGGTGAATTCACGCGTCAAATATTAACGAGATCAATAAATCTGTCAAGTATAAAGCTGCAGCTCAAGTGAGGGTGATAACAAAAAGGGGGTTACAAATTATATAACCGGTAAAATTATTGGCAAAATTGATTTTACTCTCCTGCAATTTTGAAGATGGGACTTGATAATTTTTATTCTTTGGCATTATTTTTAGACAAGAAGTTTTTTTTTAGGAAAATCAATAAATTTAATTGACGATTGGTCTAAAGTATTTTATTTTTGGTGCTTTTAAGGAACTGATAATTTCTCTAAATAGCTTCCTGTTCTTCAGATATTTCAATTAAATGTAAAAAATATCATAAATTGCTCAAGACAGGGTTTTCCAGTTATATCTAGCAATTTTTAGATATAAAATGAGAAAAAAAATACAATGAAATATTATGCCATGGAAAATAGTTATGTAAATCTGATAGCAAAATATCTTCTTTGTAATACACCTAGAAAAACCAAAATTTTTGCGCGTTTTATAATTAAATTAAAAAAGGATCCATTGTTTCGGGGAATGCGCCGAGCAAAGTTTAAATATTTGCCATTAAAAATCTGTTTCATGTCAGCGCATCAATTTATGAAGAGTGAGAGATTCAGACGCTGCAGGGGTACTTTTAAATAATTAATCGCAGCGAGATGCAGCAAAGGTGGTGCTGCAGCTGGCGGTGTGTGAGAAACGCAACAACTCACCTCTTTTTTGTTTTTCAACTCCTCCGAGTTGAAGCTGTTGAGCAACAAGGCCAAGAAGAGGTTGAGCACCATGAAGTTCCCCATGACGAGCGCGGGTAGGAAGATCAAGAAACAGGGAGTTGTGTCCTGCGGCGCGTGAACACAAGAAATGCGGCCGTGAGTGAGTGTGTGTGCGAAGAGAAAAGGGTTGCGGTGCATTATGCTGCGATGGCACACTTACCTCTTTTAGTTTTTCTTTAGCACGCATGCAGTCCCACAGGGGCTCGATCCACTCGCCGCAAAGGATGCGAAAAATCATCATGAATGAGTGGAAAAAGTCTTTAAAGTTCCATCTGCAACAATTACACATTTTAAAGCTGATGAATTATTCTCCATTGTTTGATCTTCAACTATTCTTAAGAGTATTACTGTTCTAATTTTTCTTCTTCTTAAATTCATTCATAATCTCATCACTAGAAATAATAATGTAAAAAAATTAAATAAAGACCCATAATTATTGATAGCTCAAAAACCTGACAGTAGGAAATTTGTTATACAATATAGTTAATATTACAATTTGCCTTCTTCTGTTCAATTATATTCCATTTTTTAATTAATACATTTACGTTACAGCCATGACCTCAGGAATCAATAAAAAGCAATTAGAAATTTTTTTAAAGTATAAAAATAAATAAATATTAATTTAAAATAAAGTTAAAACTGCATAGTTTATATAAAAAGGATTAAAAAAAATTAATAAATCTTTTTTTACTTTTATATATGGTTTTATGAGTTTCATACTGAAAAAAAAACATAGAATTTCATGATGTTAAGAATCAAATTTTAAATTTTAACATTTTTACTGCCACCTCTGCCACATTTAACAAACATATATATTATTTAAAATAATGTAAAAAATTTTTAACTAAAAAAATCCTTTTTGAATAAAAGACACAGGCACATGTCTTGGCCTGACCCCAAAAATAAAAATCTAATATTGTGAAACAAATTTTATTCCATGTTTTTCAAACTTTTTCAACCTTAAACAAGTTCTCTATTTTTTTTAAATTCCCAAAATATTTTTTCCAACTTTAATCTCTGGCACCACATCATGAAGTTTCTTTTTCTTATTACCCACCTTGGAATATCATCTTCGAACGCCATCGGGTACGTTTTGGAGAAAAGTTGCATTCCGATGACGGCAAAAATGTAGATGACGATGACCAGCACGAAGGTCAGGTTTCCGAGCGCGCCCAGCGTCGAGATGATGATCGAAAGCAAAACTTTCATCGTCGTCCACGATTGCGCCAGCTTGAGAACTCGCAACTGTAATTAGCACGCCAAGGGCGATTAGTCGATCAATTAGCTTCATCGGAAATTAATTACCAGGCGGAGGCCTCTGAGCACCGAAATGCTGTCGATCAGCTCGAAGGCCAGGTCAAGCATGCTGGCCGACACGACGATCAGGTCGAAAATGTTCCATCCGCAGCTGAAGTAGTCCTTGCTCATCGCCGTGATCTTCAGAATGCACTCCAGTGTGAATATTGATGTGAAAACCTGAACAAAAAAAGAAATATCTTCTTTAATTAATATTTCTTCTGATTGTGAGTTACAGGATTGTGAGTTACAGGAAAATTTGATTTTCAAAAGTTGGAAAACAACAACAATCAATTATTTTGTAGTTTAACTTAATGAAAAAAAAAATCATCTTTGCGTTATTCATCATTAATACGGTTTTGTTGCATGATATAATGATATGGTACAATTCCAATTGCCTGAAAATGACAGCGATTTTTTAATAAGTGGTAATTCCATATGTGTCAATACAGATTTAATATATTTGTAATTGTAAGATACTGAAATATGGCTTCCTAGGAACAGATAAAATTTAAAACAATTTATTAAATTATTCATGTAAAAAGAATTATTAAAAAAATTATAAAATATTAATAATTTTTTAAATAGTGAATATCTTATTAAAAACTCATTAAAATTTTTTACAAAATTATGTTACAAAAAGTTTACATAAGAGCCCACAGGCGCGGTGTGTTTGTTTGCGGAGATTGTTAAAACAGATTTATTGATTGCAAACGCTTCTCTTTCTCTCTTTGCTAAATGTACAACTAGACCTGCATAATGAATCACGTTTGACAGCACACGGGTTTTATTCATACATGAACAGACCCCGCGAGACATTTCCATACTCTTTCATGAGTTAAAATTTACGGTGCAGCGACAATATTTTCGCATGTGTGCCTCGTCGTCCCACATTTTATTGCTTTATTGGCGGATATTCCGGCGGCAACGTCGACGGAAGGAAAAAGTTGAAGTGTATTTTTATTTATTTGCCGGACGGCAAATCCTAGCGCGTCTCGTTGACGTCGTAATTTTTGTCCATAAAAATGTCACTTGTTGCGAGGAAAAACCTTTGGAAAAATTAAGGCCCTCGAAGATTTACGAGCGTGAATTGAACGAATAGAAGTAGTGGAAGGTTCAGTGACTTTTTCAAGTATGACGAATGTGTTTGAAAGCAAGTGAAGTGGAACGAAATTCGATTCGTTGATATTGATGCACATATTTTTGTTTATAGGAAAATACGGTTGACCTGTCGCTTAAATTTCGCGATACACAAATTTTGCCTTTTTAATATTATAATGAAGATGAAGTAAAAAATAGACTTTATTTTTTAATAAAAAAAAAAAAAAAATAAAAAAACACTCTCTCATCCATTTAGGTTTTTTTGTATGAGGCTTATTAGGCTATTGATATATTTAGGTTTGCGACCTTATTTGCAAAATTACAAGATCAGTTGAAATTGAAATTCTTAATATCATCACATAATCATCATAGTTTTTAAGTCCATGATTATAGTTTTTATTATCCTATTGTTTATTAAATTAGAAAAATAAGTCCGGTTGGATGATTATGGAAGTCTAAAAGTAATAGATGATAACGAGAAATTAAATTGAAATTAAAATCAATTAAAATTACTTCTAGAATTTATAATTTCATGTTTTTTTGTAATATCACTTCAATGATTTTTAAAGTTTTCATTTATTTATCAAATCTGTTATATAAGAAACGAATGGATTTTTTCTATCAACACAAATAAAAAAATTTTAACTGATTTCAAGAGTATAGAGTATACTTTAGGATCAATTCTTTTTATTAAGGAGAAGAAGATTGCTCTTTCCAACACTCTGTTCCAAAGATATTTCCTTTTATTAAATTTTCGCCAGCACACTTGCAAGGCCGAGCGAAATTCAATTACTTGCGGAGAGGCAACCATAAAGTGACAACATCTTCAAAGCAATAATAACACACAACCCTTTGGGTTTATCCTTTTCGGTATTAAACAAATCGAATCAAGCCCAAAATTGAAGGTGCACCCTGCGGAAACTTCCGCAACCAAGTTAATTACCAGAGGCATGATAGCGTTTTACAAAGTCGTTAAACTGAGGCGCTGCTCGCGTGGCGCATAAGCCACCCAGTGAGAGAGAGATTAGTGCCCGGGCAAACAGCGCGCGAGTGGGCAAATAAATAAGAAAAACAAACAAATAAATGGTGCACATACCTTGTTGCCTATGTTGAGGGCCGCTTTGACGGACTCGCTCATGCCGTGGTGCTCGAGGGCCAGGAACAGGGTGTTGAGCACAATGCATAAAGTAATTAGGAGGTCAAACAACGGGTCGTGCACGATGTTGTAGAGGCAGTTTTGAAACCTAAGCCAGCCGTGGTAGTTTAAACAGCACTGCTCGCACTTGGTGCAATTCCTATCCTGCAGCTTGTCTGCAAAATGCCAAAATTTTATAGATTAAAATAAGGTAGATCATGGGTAAATGGTATCCTTTCAAAGCTCATTTGATTCAAAAGGAAGAAATCGTCAGTAGCTTAATATACATATTTTTTTTTATGGAGGGCAATACTTAAATTTATATATTTATAAAAAAACATTCTTTAAAATACGAGTTTCTAACAATAAGATTCTTCTTCTATGGGATTCTAATCAAAAAGATGGTTTGCAAAACGATTCAGATTATCAAAGTTGAATTATTGTGGTTCAAGTGTGCAAATTATTTATTTTCAACTCATCACTTCCAAAGGGCGTCAAGGAAAGATTAAAAAATCTGAAATGGTAAAAAAAATCCAAATATTTTAACTTATTAAGCTCATTTTTTTTATGTTAAATGGAGAAATATTTTTTTTGTCGTTAGACTTTCTAGAAATTAAATAAGGTGTGTCAAAACATCAAAGAAAAAAAACTAGGAATTATTTCAAAAAATTCAAGTTTGAAATTTAAGATTTGAAAGAACAATTTATTAATATTAATATGATGAATTATTATGATGAATTAATATTGAATCAAAATTTATAATTCTTTAAAACACATTTACATAGCATTAAAATTGTATAATTAATTCAATTTCTAAACAGGTTCATTGTCTAGAATTTTCTCATAAAAGAACAGCAGTGAAATTTAGCAAAACCAACCAATGAGACAAATCAAACGTTTTTGTTTCTTGACCGACCAACTTCTGGTAAACAATGAGTAAACACAAAAGATATTAGAACGCAAGCAGGCCATTATCGATCGATTACTGGCAGCTCTTGGGTTGAATGAAAAGAGTCGGGTGGAGAGAGAAAGACACCCTTTTGCTATTGATCCCGACCGCAATATCGCCAGTCCATTGAATATCAATTCTTCTCTTCGCGTTTTTTTTTTATATTTTTTTATCTAGCCGATGTTTTTTCCTTCTTTCTCTCTCGTTTAATCGCTCCGCCACCGACAAAGGCCGGAAACAAATAGCACGTGTGCTCGGCCGGAATTTATTTTCGCAGTTTATTGCATCGCAGTAAATTTTCCATTATCAGTCCCGAGCAGCGGCGGTTTTGTTCTTATTTATCGGTCGGTAAATTTTTCATTCGCTGCCGAGGCAAAAAACGCTCTGCGGCCACAGAAAAATCTGCTCATTGAAACGAATAAATGCAAACTGACGCTCGTCAAACTGATTTACTGCCTCCAGAACCGTAAATTTTAATGAACGTGCTTCTTGATCGAATTTGCTCTTGGTTTGCGTCAAAGATTGGCGAGTCTCCAAGAAAGCAGTGTGTTAATCTGCGAACTTTGCCAAAAGTTTAAGGCCTCAAAGAATTCCAGCAAAAGATGAAGTACAAAGGCTGTGAAGCCAAACGGAGATTTGTTTCTTTTCTTATAGACGTGCCACCCCTACCTCCCTTCCCTTTATATTGACAGTGTTTGAAAAAATTAAGTAATTAAAATTTCTATTTACAAAAAAATCTAATCTATTAAAAAAAAATACTAGCATTTTTCTGATGACCTTTTACAGACAAATGCCTTTTTACCCTCTCAGTGTCTGAATTTTTTGAAAATAATTTCTTTCCTTGTATGTTACTGTTACTAATTGTAAGTTTAATTTTATTTTAAATTCGGAAGATCAATTAAACTTAAGGTTACTGATCAGAGAACAAAAACGAAGGTTTGTATCGTTGTAGTAAATTAATTATAAACAATAATCTTTTATTGCATTCAACCGTAAAAAAAACAGTCAATTGAAATATCAGCGACAGATTTCAATTTAAGACGATTATTTACTTCAATTTTTACACTAAAGCTCAAAGATCTTTTTATTGCGAGGTGTGTTAAAAGGAGAATATTATCACAATGAATTTAAATTTCTTATTTCTAACTAACTGAATTTTCTAATTATCAACCATATCAGACATTCAATTTCCTCCATCATCCAAGTTGAAAACATCGTTAAATGAATTTGCTACAATTTAAATTCGCTGTGGCGCTTTAATTAATACATTAATATCAAATATCAATTTTAATCTCAAAGTAACATTTTGAATACAAAATTATGATAAATTATGACCTTGAGTTTTAATTGATAATTGTTTACTTTAATACTTAAATTTTTTTAAATGTGAAATGTGAAATTTAAATATAAAAAACTAATATCAATGAAAATTAAATTTTAATATAGTAAAATTATTAAAATATTTACAGTTAAAAATAAATCAAGTATACTTATGAGTCGTATAGGCACGGCGGGTGGTCATAAGAAATTTATATTATATCACTCACCGTGAATGACCATGTCGGGCTTGCCACATCTGTAGATGCCCTCCTCAAGTTGCGCCGGACTGACCCCGTTGCAAATGACCGTCTCGGTCGCGCCGGTGCCGCCCCTGACGATGGTGGTGTAGGCGGGCTGTCTCTGCAAAGGCAACAGAGCGAAATGGCTTGTTTTAGCACGCAATCAACGTCAAGAGAGAGTTATATAACAATCCCTCATCGAAATATAAACGCAACAGTGGAGCCGCCAGCGAATTATTACTGTTCAATGCTGTCACTCGTCAAAAAGTTTCATTCGACAATCTGTTTTTGCTGTGCGGTTAATTCTGCAGTGCCACTGACAGCGGTGCATTCGCCAGAGGAGAGCCAACGTTTTTGATGGCATCGTTAATGGATTTAATTGGACGTTTGATGAATTAATTGCCATTTTATGTGATTCTGATTTTGGTGGTGATTAGTTTCGTGATGCATGGTGAAAATGTGATTTTGATTTGTGATTCTTGTAATTGTCAGATATAGGGGGTTAAGACTAATTCTTTGTTAAAAACTCATTAAACAAAATAAATACAGATTATGTTTCAGTATTATGCATTTTTTTTAATTCCTCCAATTCTAAATGAATTTTGAATTTGTTTCCTTTTAGTGAAATCGAGCTTGTTGAAAATAATAAATTTCAATATTGTTGAAAAATGTTACAGCATGAAATATTGTAGTTACAAAAATTATTTAACAATTATCTTTTTTATTCAAATATAATGTTGACAGACATAAATAATTGAGTCTGTATGTTTCCAGTCTTAGAAAAGAGCAACCAAGAGACGGTGCGGTAAGATCAACACCAATTAGTCCGCACATTTTCATAATGGCCTAATTTGTCGTGTGGCACAGAGAAAACCCATAAAAGAGGAGCAAACGTGCGGCTCGCGTGACCGCATTCACTGCAACCCTCTGTGCCGAGAGACGAGGGAAAACAAAGAAAAATCTCTACGTGTGGCGAGGGTTTGTAAAAAAAATAAGAGTGCTTACCAGGTGTCTGACGGCCAGCTGGGCGGGAGCTTCCTCGGAGGTGATGTCGCCCCCTTCGTGGTCGTCGACCACCCCTGAATCATCAAGAGAGGACTCGGGGTTATTGCTGTCACTGTTGCTTCCGGGCTTTTTGAGGCGAGCTCTCGAGCACACTAAATGAATTTATGAGTGTCTCCAAAGTCAAGTTCGAAGCTGAGAGAAAAGGCAAGAAAGAAACACAAGGACGAACCAAAGTGTGTGACGCGTGCGTGTTTTATTTTGAAGCGAAATAAAAATGGAGAAAAGTTAAAAAAGGAAAGAGGAACAACTGAATTTAGTTTTTTGCAGACAGAGTAAGAAAGGTAAGCACGTTTTATGTACAAGTTTCGGGAGGTTTTTCTTTTCCACTTCCGAGTTTTGATCTGTCCTGGAAGTGGCGCCGAGCAGTGGGAAATTGATGGATGAGATAAAATGCTCTGAGCTCGTTTATGGAGTGTGCAGACAAAACGATCGACAGTGTGTTTGCCTTTGGGCCATTTGGGTTGAGGCATGTGCGGTCTTGCTTTTTTCCTATTTTGGTGCAAAGTGAATGGAACGAGTTTTGCTACATTACACAAAGAGAAAGCAGCAGCAGTGTTTCGTAGACATGAAATTTCAATCGCTATGTATGAAGAAAAATCATACTTCAAAGAAAATTCTCGAAAATCGGTAATAATCTATGCTCACTTGCCCCGATTTACTGAATGGCGATAAAAACTTTTTTTTAAAAAAAATATTCAATAAAAGCGTATTTTAGAATTAACTTGACATTTGTACTATTTGTAGGAACAAAGAAAATCTCTTCTAAACGTTACTGTAATGTTAACAGTTTTACTTTATTAAATATAAAAGTTAAATTTTTGAACTTTTTTATTTATACAGATATTATTTCAACTGCGTAGAAGATTTGAAATATTGGATAATGATGTTCAATAGTAAGCAATAAAAAAAACTATAAATTTAATTAATTATTTTAAAACAAAAACGTCAAATAATTAAAACATTTTTTTTATTAAATTAAATATATATTAAGTTTTAACACCGAATGAAAATGCCACTCACTTTTCTGTCACATTTCGCAAATGAGGAAAATTCATTCTGGCACCGAAGCTCATTTGCGGCAAATCTCATCAAACGAGATAATAATCCCGAGAGCGTGGAAAAAGTAGCGGCTGCTGATTTCCCTTTCCCGCGAGGGAGGAAGCGGCGGCGGCGGCTGGTGGTCGCGTTAGGCAGCGAGCGGGTGAGAGGGGAAATGAAATATGGATCTCTCATGCACAACATTCATTCCTGCAGGCAAAAGTGAGAGTAGTACACGCTCTCTGTCAGTAGTATAAGAGATAGTCAACGGCACAAAGCATTCAATCAATCAGCGCCAATGTAATCGAGGGTCTCTAGAGTTTTTCACTCTCGAAACAGTGACATTAAAAGGAATTTTCTGTATACTGCATTCATTAGAAACATTAGCCGATCAACTAAAAGATCAAGCCTGAAAAAATGATTGTTGAAACTTGTATAAAAAAATTCTTGTATAATAAGAAATAAATTTTCTAGGTATTAATAAATTCCACGAAATTATGATCTATCAATGAAATTACTTAAAAGTTCATTTGTAAAGTTAATGTCTTCAATAAAAATTATATCAGAAGTTTTTGCTGGTGGTAGTCCCTTTTTTTAAAGAATTTCTCAAAAATTCTATTTGTAAAATGTTTTGTAACAATTATAAAAATAAACAAAATTAAAGTTATGTGTTTAAATGCAATAACTGCCATAACAAATAACTATTGAAAAATTGCACTCCTATTGGTTGTAAAAGAAAGTGAAATTTTATAGTATCATGATTTTGACGATAGTCAGCAAATTTTCTCTTCTTTTGAATGCATTAAAAAAAACAAGAATCAATTAAAAAGACTACTGCCAACTTTTCTGGTTTTAAATAATACTATTAATAATGTTCTTGAGCGCTTCAGATTTTCTACATTAGATATTTAAACAGTTATTATAAATATTTACCGAGATTTGCTGTAAGAATCAGTATTTTAGAACAAATAAATAAATTAAGAAAATATAATTTTTAATAAAAAAAACTGAGTTGTTTGTTTAGAAATGTAGATTAAAAAGTGAATTACTCTATAGATAGCAGTGGGAGTGCAAGGTCGAAATTTTGTGCGTGTGCATTCCGAGATTTGATGATTGATGGCTCAAGAAAATTATGTTTGCGGAAGCTGATGGATGCACGAGAGGCGTTAAAAGGCAGTGGTGCAACCCTACCTGACAGCTCATTTCCTGCCGGCTGCTGCTGAAGCTGCGGAGCGGCGGAGGCGGTTTTGGCGGGCAGCACCGTTCGCAATTCTTTGAGCACCGCCCCGTACGTGGCTGCGGACGATAATGAATGCGTGGGCGGTTAGCGACTGCGATTGTTCGTTTATTATGACGGATGGATGGGAAGGGGTGTGCTGGCCGAAATAATGTTTCAGCCTCATTTAACCGGCCAACAATGACTGATGCTCGTAAAATGATATTAACTCCCCACGTGGCCGGTTGTTAATGAGTCTGGGAAATGCGAGGGATGCTCTCGCTTGATATGAAATCGCCAAGTGTTGATTGAAATTAATGAGTAGGTCATTTATTAAGTGGAAATTACAAACGTAGGAAATTAGATTTTGCTTCATTTAGCATTGTTCTTAGTCCAGACTTTTTTTTAATTACAATATTTCTAAATTGATTAGAGATAGTGATATAATTTGTTGGGAAATCTCGTTATATTGATTTTAATACGGTATATTTTTTATTGTTTATTAATTTTTTATAGAAGCTATTTTCATGTATAACAATGTCAAACAGAAGATTCTTTTTACTCTTTAAGTGCTCTATGGGAAGAAAATTATTTAGTGGATTATAGACTGGAAGATTGGGCAAAATCCTTTATTGGCTCTCGCACTCTGGCTTAAACCGTCTTTTCGAGCTCAATCTGCGCCAGACGATCGCACACGCATAAAAGATTTATTAGCCCACTAATGAAAATTGAGCCAAAGGGTGGATATAAAACTTAAGGGGTGGTTTATTCGGATCGATCGCTGTCGTTTCTGTCTGCTCGAGATAAATGGTGGTTTCGGGGGCGGAGCAGGAAATTGCCCGGCAGAAACGGCGGGCGTGAGCGATTTCTGATTCAATTAGCAGGTGGAAGGAAGGATAATTTTTTTCGCCAATTTCGCGCCCTGCCTATTATCCGCACCCGCAAGAAAGAAATAATTAATTTCTCGCTCCGTCGAGCGAGCGGAAAGTTCTCGGCGAAGAAAGGAGAAAGCAAGGTTTTTGTTGTTTCCTCATGATTGTTTGCGAAGTAGAGATAAAGCCTCCTGATGAAAAGTAATGGTGCAAAAGAGCAGAGGTCACCCTTTATTAAAGGACATATTTACTATTTTGGCCCGTTGCCTCCCTCTTTTCTCAACTCTCCGGAGAATTAATAATCTTTTTACTCTGGTCCGATTGCGGACCTTAAAAGCTTGCTGGACCGATTGATTTTTTTAATCTGCGTCCGTCTCTGTGCTAAAATTTTGGAGAGGCTCCAGTCTGCTCGTGGAGAATAATGAAAAACGGCCCTGCCAAAATAATAACGAGCGACTCTGCGCCAGAGGTCGCCTGCCGTTTGAATGTTTAGGCAACCGGCTCTACACGTTTGTCCAGAGGGTTGCATAACTTTCATTACAGAGAAGGAGAGGAACAACGAGAGACCGCGCAAGCTGATAACGAATTCAGTATCCACAAACGCAGAGAGAAACGCGAGATGAAAGCACTCGGTTTTTGGATTTTAAGCGGGATTATTCGAATTACAAAGCTTGCCGTGATAATATTAGAGATAAATTCAGAAGTTTAAATAGATTGCATGGTTTTTACCTAAATTTTTTAATATTTTGCTTGAGAAAATAATTGAGGAAATATGTTATTGTTCATTAATATTTTACCAAATTGATTTCTGAGGTGCTAAAAACTTAGTCTTTCAAGATATTATTGAATTGTTCTGTATTTTAAGATATTCTAGTCAATTTTAACGAGTTTTTTCAACTTGTAATCGCATTATTTGAAGCCATCTGATAATTTTAGACGTCAACAAGAAAGCAGAAAGAGAATTCGATAAACCAGAATTTGCAAGTCTAGCGATAAAAACAGCAATGAAAAGTTGAGCAGAGACATCCAATTGTTACATTGGAACATTTCTCAATAAAAAAGTAGTCTGCAAGATCAAACGATTTTTTATACTTGGGAGGTTTCATTTTCGCAAGCAAGCGGGAGAGGAGCCAGAAAATGGCGAGGCAGTTTCCTCAAAAAGCCGGATGCTGCTCTTTGGGCCCGGCGATTTATTTGGCACGGAAACCGCAAGTTTTAAGCACTCACCGACTGCGTTCGGATGGAGGTGCTCAGTGACCCTGGCCTCGGAGTTGGCGGAATGCGGCAGCGGCGACGGCTGCTGCTGCCGGTGCGGCGAGGGTTGCCGCGAAGGGACGTGTGGGCTGGGAATTTCCAGCGCCGTCGGCCGCTGCGGGGTGCTGCAAACCTCGGCCGCGTCGCCGTCGCGAAAACTCTCCTTGGGACTGTTGCACTTGGACGAGTCGTTGTTCTTCTCATCCTTCTTCTTGTTATTCTTCTTGCGTTTCCGAGTCTTTTTCTTCGTGTACGACGCCAACAGGATACCCTTGCGCGCGTCAATTTTTCGCTTTTCCGTGTCTTTCTCCAGCGTTTTCACGTCCAAGTTAGATGGGTCGAAGCTGAACGTTGAGTCGTCGCGGTGGTCGGGCAGTTCTTTTCGTCTTTCCTGATATTTGACATGGGAATCAAAAATCCGAATTAAACATTGAATGCAGATTTTGGAGTTTAGTAAAAAGGTTGGAAACTTTTAGAAACTTTTGTAGATGAGATCCTGAAGAAAATTTGCCAACGTTTCAAACGTTATTGGATAAATTTGGATAAGAATTTAAAAATTTATTAGTTCCTTAAGTTTTAACAATTAAAAAAATTGTTTGAATCGTTACTCAAATATCTAATCAGGATCTGAATAACAAAGTTTAGATTTCCTGAAAGTTTCACCGCCTTTAATAGAAGTATATTTATATTGTAAGTTTGCATATGTACATAATTTAATTACCTAGATTATTGAATGCACGATGATTAGTATACTTTATTTGGGAGATAATTAATTAATGGAGGAAATTCATTTAGTAGCCACTCAAGAATAGCCATATTCAGATTCAGAACACTTATCCTGAGAGGAATTCTGCATACAATGAGGACGATCCAAAAAAAAAACAAGCCCGGCCCTCATTTCGTATTCTCCAATATAAAATCAACTAATGAAATCCCGAGGGCAAGTTCTATTTATACAATATTGGTACTATTACGCTAAATATGCTTTAATATTTATTTTATTATAAAAACCACGCGTTTGAATTAATAAAAAAATTCGAATAATAAATTTTTCCATCTTTTGTCCCCAATTTTAACGCGACTTTTTTTCACAAAAATTCACTGACCGTTTTAGTTAATATACGTTGTATTATTCATGTCGTTAGGTTAATCGTTTGTTTGTTGCACAGTGTAATTCTAGCTAATTAAAGATTATTGTTATTACGTCATTGTCCTTGCGTTTTACCTCTTGAGTAATTTCCGCTTCCTCCTCGTAGCTCAACGCAACGACGGCCAGCATCAGGTTGATCAAGTAGAACGAGCCAAAAAAGACGACGACAGTGAAGAATGTCACACTGATCGGGCCACATGTTGCTAAGACCTGCAAAAAATCAAAACAAATGGAAGTAAAGTTAGTAATGGCTTGAGTAATTTGACCTAAAATAAAAAACATTAATAGAAAAATGTTTCAAATATATTCTTAAAAGTCTTAAAACTTAATGAAGTAATCTAACAATTACCCTGTTTTTTATTTTCTATTTTTAGTAATAAAAAACACATTAATTTTCTGACTTATTTTGATATCAAAAATTATTTTGAAGATCAAAGAGCAGTTTGTAAATAATCCGCAACACAACTTAGTCAATTTTCTTGCATTTCTGACAAATAGTTAAGCGTGAAAAAATTTAGTATTAACAAAATTATCGCTGATTCTTTGTTAAATTTTCACAATCGCATTGTTTATATTTGATATTTAAAAACAATAAATTTGAAAGAAAGAATGGTGGATAGATTACTAAATAATAATTATAAAAAAACCTTATCTAGAACAATCGTGAAAATGTGAGACAAAAGCAAGTAAAGGAAAATGAGTATGCTTCATCATTATTTGCTTTTAATTCCATTATTAACTGTTTTGTTAGCTCCAAAATGGCTATTTGCAGACCAATTTGCTCTGAAAGAGGAGGGTAGTTTTGCTTTTGCATACTGCGTGAGCGGCTAAACGGAAGGGTGCTGCTGCACCCGCCCATACAGTTAGTCAAATCTGACTTGTGAGAAATCGTCATTCATAATGAAGTCGGGCTCCACTCACAAACGGTGGGTCGTTTCTAAAAGGGAGAAAATGGCCCACTTAGTCCGGAAAAGCGGCTCCAAACGTGCATTTATCAGTCTCACGAGGCAAACTTGCGAGTCGAGCGTGAACTGCGCTCATATACATACATATGGAGTGCAAACACACACACACACACACACACACACACACACACACACACACACCGACGCGCCTGGCAAACTTTGAAATAAAACTTCTCAAACTGCGAATGCATAATGAAAGACGGCAGCTCGTAGTAGTACTTCTTATTCTTCTCCAGAGCGCCGCGAATTAAATTTAATTCAATGCGAAGAAAAGAGAAAATATGCGCACCGTATAATTTTTCTTCCAGACGTTTCTTTTTGCTCTCATCAAAAGGTAATTTTGTAATTCATTTCCCTTGGGACAAAATTGTAAAAAATGGACAAAAAATTTTACTTCATCAAAATTTTGCTCTTTATAGTATCAGAAGGTTGTACTAGATTAATTTTCATTATTATTCCCACAAATAGGTGATTTTTTTACTTAAAAATATAATAATTATTAATTATACGTCTTTGGATGATTTTTCAGCTGAAATTAATATTCTTGTATACATCAATTTTTTAGACCGTTTTTGGGTGAAATATTTAAATACTCAATTTTTTCAGGACATTCAAGATGAAATCTTAAACATTTCAAAATAAAAAAGGGTGATAAATAGATTCGAAAATAAAATTTGCTATTTTAACTCAAATTTGTGATGCATATTTATCAAATAGACGAATTTTAAACCTCCCATCAAACTTAATAAACAAATTTTATTATTTTATTACTTTATTTTTTTTATTTTTTGAGAGAGAAAATATCCTCAGAAGTACTCTGAATTTACTAAAGATGAGTTTTCTTGTGATTTTCATCCAGATTAATATCTAGCAAATTTTTTCTCAGTTTAAAAAAACCTAATGCTATTTGTTTTCTTGGGGAATTCTTTTTTGTTATAAAAAGTAAATAAAATTAATTTCACACGGCCCAGAAATTTCCAAAATATATTTCTCCTCAAAATTAATCTTCCACGAGTTTTCATACAATACTCAACCCTGGAGAGAAAAAATAATAAAATTGGGGGAAATAGGCCAATTACACTAATGCGTGGCGAATAAAACAGCCACATGTTTCGGCCGGCAGGACACACGTGTGCTGCGTAAAACAAACAAAACGAGAGACACATTCATATTTGCACACATTTCGGGGCCAAACCTTGTTATTAATCTGCTAATGGATTCGCGACGAGGGACAGCTGGACGGGGGGAAAAACGGGTCGTGCGAATTCGGGGAAGGCACCCTGTTGCAGACAGGAAAGTGACCTCCCAAAGTAGCGAGTGGGACATATCGATCTGCGGTGCGAGCAGGAGACATCACGGCGGCAAATCCGCCGCCGCCGCCACCGTCTCCAGCAGTCGCTCGGGGTGGTATGGCCACCACCTGCCCTCTACCCCCACTTGTGCATACCCCCGACCGATCGCTGCCCTAGAGAAACATGTGATCGGGCTTCCGGACCCGAAATAGCTGCCGGCGTTGAGTGGGGTTGACCACTCGAAATCACTCTCACGACGGCTCTTTTAACGGGGCGCCTATTGTCAGAGGTGCGAATATTTCACGGCTGGCAACATTTATTTCAAGTGGGATTTGTCGGACCGTATCAAAAAATGGCCTCCAATCTTGTAAAGTGAGTAACTACTGTGCTCTCGACACATTTGAACTTTCGATCTGGGACCGAATGAAGAATATTTTTATGATTAAATGCTGTGTCCGCAATCATAATATATGACCTACGAATAATTTTGAGACAAATTAGTTCACAATTAAGATTATCTTTTTTTCCAAAATAGGCGTCAATTTACAAAGACAATTTTAACAGGTGACAAAAAAAATGAATAAATAAAACCATACTTTAATAAGGTGAAATTTTAGAATCATAAAATTTTATTATGCTGTTTGTAGGTGAACTTTTTTTATTATGTTCACAATTTCTTTTAAAAAAAGTGACATCGTAATTTAAAATTACTAATTTTATATTTCAAAAAATACCTCAATTTTAATAATTGAGAGGCCTACTTGGGCTTAATCAGTGATTTTAGTTGTTTTCGGGAAAAAACAATAACTTTTTTCCCTTCTTTATTTATTGAAGTGAAAAAAATTTCAAAATCGATTGCACTTAGAAATTATTTTAATAACTATTCTACTTAAGAATAGTGTAACGTTTTCATTATTTGTGCAGAGGTCGATATAATCGAGTCATGGCGAAAACGACTGAAATTAAAATAAAACAAAATGAAATAACTTTCAACTGTAATATTTTTCACTAAACTTATACGTATTCCAACGTATTCTAAATTTATAGCCGTCTGATTTGAAGACTTTTTGATTATTTATATTTTATATCAGCAAATTTGAGTAATTGAATTTTGAGTAAAAAAGTTATTTTCATTGCGGCATAGGGGAATTACAAAAAACTTAAAAATGGATTAAAAAAGTAGGTTTATGCTAAAAATTTCTAGCCTCTGGTTATTACACCCCATGGCGCAAACCATAACAATTTTAACGTTAAAAGTTCAAGTTGTTATGTTTAAGGTACTTAATTTTCATATTATATAATCAAGAACAAAAAATGTCACGTTATGATAACATCAGAGAATATCTTTTAATCAAAACCATTTTTTCTATTCATATTTGCAATTCCTACCCTTAAACTGTTTGAATTAATTTAAAAATAATAAAGTTTTGCAATAAAAGCAGTTAATTTAAGGCTTTATGTGTGCCATAATAAAAATCAAGCTTGACACGTTGACACAATCAACAATAAAGTGAAGATTGTGAGCTAGGCTGGCTGTTAAGCTCTGACGAGGGATTTCGGGATTAAGTTTTCAAGCAGGCGCATCAGGTTGCCTGCCCGGCCGGCTGCGGCCCGCCGGGTTGCAATAAAATTGGGGGACTGCTGTGCGGAGCTGCCGCACAAAGCAAGGGTTGCTTTTCTCCCCGGTGCGTCCCGTGCGCGTGGGAATTTCGGTCGTCAGTTGAAAAAGGAAGGCGAAATTATTACAGCCGTGGGAATAAATTTTTGATGGCCAGAGTGGCTTCCGAAGTAGCCGCGTGTCCCGCTTTTCCCCTTTCAAAAATGAATGCCTCTGCTGCTTTTTCTCTTTGGCAAAAACGTCACGGCTTCCGACCCGCCTGACTGAAGTGATTTGGCAAAGCTCTCTGCCAAACGGAATTTGATTTTGTCGGTTCGTATTACGGTGCTTTCGGTGCCCATATTAAACTTGGGTTCCGCAGCAGCCAGTGTATCTGCTGTGGATTTTATTTCAAACGTGGTGAACCGAGGTGGCGTGGGTTTCAATACTAGTGGTAATAGAACGGCGAACAGTATAAGTGCTCTTATCGGCTCTTCTCAAAGGGTTGCCACCACTTGTTTGAAAACTAATTCCCATATTTTTTCACCAAATATCTGAGCTGCAATTTCTTAAATTGTATATATAAATTATTGTTTTGATTGCAAATAATTTTATAGTATGGCTTGAGACAAAAGTTTTTTTTTTAATTTTATATTTTAATTTAAAATAAATAATATATTTTTGAATCTATTATTCCTTTATTCCCATTAAACACAATTATCAACAAGTTTCTAGTTCTTTTTATCTTTTAACGTGAACGGATATATAAAAATGAATTATGAAATTTTAAATAATATTCTGAGGGGATCAGCATAGTTATGTGTTCCTTGCCACAATGGCAAGTCTTGATCGATCTTAGGTGATTTAAATATTAAATCTGCTTTTCCTTGATGGGATTTTTGAGTTGTTTATTTTCATTGTTTAAGAAAAACAATATCCTGACCTACATGTTTTGGCTGCGGGCTGCAACCATAATTCATGAGCTGTGATATCATTTTGAGATTTCGATAAGAATTAGCACAAAAATCATTCTTTAAATAAAAAAATTTCTTCAAGGTAACAGTTATCTGTGAAAATTTATTTAAAGTTTTAAATATTTATTTTTGTACTAATTCTTGTCAAAATGATTTCACAGCTCATGAATAATGGCTGCAGCCCGCAGCCGAAACATGTAGAGCAGGTTATTGTTTTTTTCTTAAACAATATATAACTCACAAAAACCCACTGAGGAAAAGCAGAATTTAAATTTAAATCACCATGAATCAACCCTCGATCGTGAATTTCTACTACAAAAAGAAAAAGATTTTGCCTTTCATTTGATTAAATTGAACTGAAAAAATCACCTATATCGATTGTATTTAAATTATTATGGAAAATTACTACCTATTTTCACACAATTTAAGATTATTCACCATTTCAGAATTTTCAGACCTACTTTTAAATATAAACTTCTAACGAAATAAGCCTATTTTAACACTAAAACTTTTCATTTAAAACAGCATTAAATACTAGACATGAATTTAAGAATTTTTAAGAATTTATCATCTTCTTTTTAAAACAACATTTTTACAAAGCCAATAATTGTTTTTACAATTCACAATTGATAATTGAAATAAAATCTTTTTCAGAAATAGAAATTATTTTTGTATTTCCTTGCATTTAGTTTTATAATTACTCATATTTTTACCATTTTTAATAAAGGAAATTTTTTAGATTAAAATATAAATATAATAATTTACTGGATGGAATTGTCTTACCTTGTTGTAGACGTCTTCCCAGTAATCGAGTGTGATGAGTTGAAACGTCGTCAGCATGGACCATAAAAAATTGTCGAAGCTGGTGTAGCCGTAGTTTGGGTTTTCGCCGAACTGGACACAAACGTAGTTCTTTTCGCAGTGCCTGCAAAATAAGAATAGACGCAAACTCAGTCACACGTTATTCGGAGCTGCAGAGGCGAAGAGAAACAAACACACACGCTCGCGCTACTCGGAACGAGAGTCAAGAGAAAGGGTTGAATTACGTGGGAAGCTTTGGCAAAAGTTGGTCGGCTCTCATTGTTAAAGTCTCGTGATCCATACAAATTGAGCAGCCAGCCAGTGGCCACGGCGAGTCAGAAATAATTCCGACAAAAGAAGTAACTTGAAAATTGTCTGCAGTACTTTAATTACATTACGGCCAGAGTAGAAAGCCATGCAGGGCATCGTGCCACGGATGTAATCGTTTGCAGACAATTAGAGAACGGAGCGAACAATAAACATTAATTGTTATAGTGTGTGATGATTTTAAGAATAAAATCTGGCTTAATTTCCATGGTTTTGGGGTTTTACTATAATATAACTTGTGATGAAAACCGTCAAAATTTTTGTTTGTAAAGTGAATAAAATATTAATGAACAGGGGTAGTGCGAAGCCTTCCGCATCTCGTGCGCCGGAAACATTATAATTGCATAAAAAATACTTCTGGTTTAAATTGATCTGTAATAAAATTGTTTATCTTATAAAAAAAAACATTCTATTTTTGTATTGTTTTGAATTTAAATTGTATTATTTTTAAACTGATAATTGTAAATTAACCATTAATATATTTATCTTTATTAAAGTATTTAAAATTAAATCTACGGGACACTATTAACGTATATTGCACTTCAAAGTCCCAAGGTGCAGCAGGGACTTGTCGATATTTAAAATAAGTTTTTTTTGTTCCTCGAGAAAATATCAGAAAATTATGCTCAAATATATTTCTAACATCATTTAAAGTTTTGATAATTTTTTAAATTACATAATTAAAAAAATATTAAAATTTCGTATTTAATTTTCAGATGCAATTAAACACCCCCACATAAAATTTCTGTTCTCTGTACATAGATCAATGTAAATAGAGGCCACCGTGGGCCACCATAAGAAATAATACGCAAATATTGGCCTAAGAAAAAAATGGCTATGTTCTGTTTTTTTCCTCACGGGGCAAAAAAACAATATGGCAGACGGGAACAATAATAAAGTAACATGAAAATCGAGTGGAAATGCGGCAATATCTGAACGAAAAATGGGACTTTAAGCTTACCTTACCTGGGCGTTTAGTACAATTTGATTTGTTATCAAAAAGCGAAAGTCCTCCATCGACTCATTTCGGCGAGACAGAACACCAAATAGAAATAATACAAGATCGCCCTCGCCATTTTTGTGCTCTCATCAACTCATGTTGCCGAGAATGGCCAGCTCACGACCAACATTCCTCCCGCTGGCTGGTGGTTGCACTTCGACAAGAGTGAACAGGTCAGCATGACGATGGGAGGCGATCCAGGAGAGAAATTAAAAAGACGCTGATCTGCTTATCATGTCTGCGCTGGATTTGAAAATTAAATCATCGCATGTGCATCGCATGAAATTAAAAAAATTTAATATTTTCCAGTTCAACGTTGATAGATGATGAACTTAAATTGATGCGAATAAATTTGATATTAGAAAAAATCTTCCCGGATATTGGTCTTCTTTTATAAAAAATAAACTTTCGTAAAAAAATGTAGCCAATTAACTTTATTTCTTTTCTCTATTTGGACTCAATGTTCACTGGCGTAAGAGTTTTTTTTTATTTAACTGCGGAAGTAAAAGTATCATTTTCTCACAAGGAATTTTTTTAAGGATTACGAAGATTTTTCAAAGATGAAGATTTATTCATCAATTTCAGCTCATCATCTATCAATAATGTTGAACAGAAAAAAATGAAGTTTTTTTTTTAATGTGATATAGATTTAATTTTTAAATCCAGAGCAGACTTATAAAGGAGTGTCATTTTCAGTTTTTCTTTCTCTCATGAATCATAATTATATCGTCTCTCTCAACTCTCATCCCCATGCTGACCTGTTCATTCTCGTCCAAGCGCCGAACAGCAGCAGCCACCACCGTCAGGAGAGAGAGTTTGTGCAAAGATTACAAAGTCACCTCTCAATGCCTGGGCGGCCAGTATCTCGCGGATTGTGTTGCGGCGAAGAAGGATTTCGCCGAACTGACGCAAAATGGACCTAAGACTCTCGCCGTGCCGCCGAGGTAGGGTAAAATCACGCTCTTGATTTAATTGAACGCGCGGGACTCACTTGTTCGGGAAAATTCTGTCTCCAGAGCGGTAGCCACTCTATGAAACCTTTGAAAAATGCGCGGCGTGCGCTTGTCTGTTGTTTTTCTCTTGGGCATGGAATGAACGCAAACGCAAACATTTTTGCAATTTCTACAGGCGCTTGTAGATAATGAGATACATTTCAAAATAATTATAGAAATATGTTTTTTAGTAATTTTATACTATGAATTTCATAAAACAAGTTAAACGTTTCATTGTTCAAAAATTTTGTAAGAAAATAATTTGAAAAAAAAATCTAGTGTAATAAATATTTAACATTAAATTTAAAAAAGGAAATACTTCCAAACACTCAATGTTATTAACCATTTTTGTTTTGTTTTATGTAGAAAAATAAACACAATCTAAATTTTAACATGAACATTTTTTTGTACATATCGCAAAATGCATTTTGGAGCATTGTATAATATTATGTCGGCATGATAAAATTATAAATTGAATAGTCAGGATATGTAATTCGCAGGCTGTGAATTATTATATTTACATATTCATCCTGCCCGAGTGAAAAAAATGTCTGCGCAAAACGCTTTTTTTCCAACGGGCTGACGCATTTTTGACGGCGCTATCAAAAATTTAAATCCCCACGCGACAGAGAGCAGTGTGTGTGCGCGAGTACTACGTACTTGTATGCAGAGAATAAATAGGCCGGCTCTGCACAGCCCGGCAAAGATAGAAAATTGTGATGGGGCGAACGTGCCGGGTGATGGATAACCTATGAACGACCGGGGGATTTGCATTTAAATAAGGACACGTGTAATCCAAATTACTTACTCGGGCCAATTCACGTCGAATATTATTATTTATCGGCCAGACAATTTTATCGATTTGAAAAAAAATTATCATGTCTGTCCGCAGGAAAAGCTGTTTTTTTCCCCGCCTCCTCGTATTTTAACACCGGCGGGGATAAATTATGTATTATTAGCGCATCACACAGATGAACGAATTTTATACACCGGCGGGCGAGACCTTTCCGCTTTTTACTCTCTCTGCATTGAACAACGCGCGGCACCAGCGGCGTATGAATAAATTCTCCCACGCCGAATCAATCGGCAAGCCTCCTTTTTTATGCATGCAGCTTTTTTTGTAGTTTTTGTTGTGTGACACACAAACACACGCAGTATAACAAAAGCTCACGTACAAAAAAAGAAAAAAGAAGGAAGAAAAGTTTTATGCGGAAAACACACCTTGCCCCTGTTACGTTTCCGCACAACACTGGCTTCCTGTCCTCGTCCAAATACCAGTTCTCACTGTTGTTGTGCCAGTTGAACCACTCCTGGTCTCTCCACCTGCAAATTCGAGAGACGATTAGCTTGACTTCTTTAAAAAATTGAAATATTTTGAAAAGAATATTAATTCCAAGTAATTGTGCAAAAATTTAGTAAAGGGACAAACAATACGTCAGTCGAGTTACTGAAGGAATCTCTTTATTCTTTAAATAATAATAATCATAAATCATATGAATTGAATTAAAACTTTTTGCATTTTCTCATTTAATAAAATTGCATTCCACGCTTTAAATACAGAATCAACTTAGCGTGCCGTTTATTTTGCGGTCCGTGTATTTTATTTGTTTTGTGTTGATGTATCTCGCTATAACGTTACGAACGAAAATTCTCCACGTCATTTGTCTGAACCGACGAGCGGGCCAACACGACAAGCAACAAAGGCATTGTGCCCCAGATGATTCACGTGAGAGTGTGTGCGAGTGCAATTTTCTAAGGCCGACCTGTTATTCGCCAGCAGAGTGACCCCCGAGAGGTCAGACTATGCCTGGTGTCAGAGGTCGACAGCCATAAAAGAGAGATGAGAAATAAAAGGCATTACGTGAGGGCGCAAAAGCGCCATTCTTCTTCTTCTGCCGCTCCCATCCTGAAAGAATCGTGTTCATGCGGCTTTTTGTGGCTTTTCCTTTCATTCATTTCAGCCGTGCCGGTGACGGCGGTCGGTCTTTAAATCCACCCAAAATTTTAGCACGCGCCCAATTTACAACTTATTCCACATCGATCCGGCTTTTTGCACGTGGAGAATTTTTGCACGCACGCACGAACCAACAACCGCAATGTTATTCTTTCTTCATCAACTTTATCAATGTTTGTTTCTTACAATGAGTTTCGCGAAAAAAATGTAACTAACCATGCGTTAGAAAAAGAAAAAATAGCTTGAGAAAAGTGCAATTGTAGGAGTTTTAAAATAATGAAAACAAAATTCAATTCAATTAAATTAATCATAATATTTAATTGAATAAAATTATGGAAAAAAATATTATAACTCATTATTATTAATTAATAATCCTAAGAAAAAATTTGTGATAGATGAGATGGATCATATTGAACTTACTGTATCCACTCTGATCTTGTGAAATTGCTGAAGTCAAGACTGCAATGCAAAGGATAACAGTTCATATATCGATTTATAAGCACCAGAATACAATATTCGTTGTTTGCTGGCGAATGTTCATTGGAAAGTTTTGTTTATAGTCTTTCATTTCTTTTTTTTTAGCAATAACAGGAAATTAGGCACGCTTTCGAGGAAAAAAGTACTTACATTGAATTGTTTGACAAACCGTCGGGCATTGTCTCGATACATTTGTTGCGCAACTCTCCCATGTACACTTGAAGTGCAAACAACGCAAACACCATCAGACAGAAAATGGTCAGGGTCATGACCTCTGCTAGTTGGCGGAAGGAATGCAGCAGTGCGTTAATGATAGTCTTCAAACCTGCGGACAAAAAAGAATACAAATTGATAAATACAAAAAAATTATTTAGCTTATTTTAAAAGAAAAAGATTATTGATTTAATAGGGACTATATTCTGTTCAGATGAATTTTTTTTTAATATTTAAAGTAATCAATAACAAATTGTGTAACGTTGGTATTTTGTTACCTTTAACTGACATTTTTTCGTGTCTGGAAAAGACTGAAGTATGCCAATTTTAAATAAAACAATAATTTTATGATTTTTTATTTTTTACTTAAAAAGATATCCAGGCATATTATTTAGTTCGTGAGTGAGAAAGTCTGATTTTTCTCTTGACAATTTTGGAATCATTATCTAAAACTTAGGCAGTTATCGAGCAGACGGCACAATTAATTTCTGCTTCAACTGAATTTAAAAATATAATAAGCAGAGCGCTTAAGAATTATAAAAAATTTCACTGTATGTCTTGACGTTTGTAAAATATTATTTATAATCTACATGATATTTTTTAAGAGAAACAATCAAAAGTGGCCCTTAAAATAAAATTTTAAGAATCTCATAATACCAAGCAAATAAATTAAACAAAAATATTATTCGAGAAAGTTCAAATAAATTTTATTTAATTCTTTTTAGAGAAAACGGAAGCCAGAAATAAAATATTTGTGTTTAATGTTTTTTATCTTCAAAGCACCTTATTTAATGTGAGGCTAACCAGGGGCCTACAAATCGCTGCTTCCTCCTAATTTCCCATTCAATCTGATCGGCAGAGAGGGCAAGCAGCAAACCCTTTGGCAAGGAAAAAGCCTTCCAGGCTAATGGCACTACTTTTCAAAGCAAATTATGCTTCGGGAGAGGCTGGAGGGCGATAAAAAAAACGGCGCGGTGAATGCAGTCGGGGCATTAATCAAAGGCAAGAAGCGATCGGTGTTTTGAAAGCGCCCCATTTAATGGGCCCACATCACTCACAAATATAAATTTTTCTCGGCAAAAGAAGGGGGAGAGGGAAATTTGCTCACCAACAGCTCGAAATATCACACGCGCCTTATTTATACGAATCTTAAAGCTTTAAAGGGGCTGGCGTGTGCGGGGCATAAGTCTCGTTAAGGCGGGTGACCTTAATTTGAAATCTCGCCGGAATCATGCATGGAACGAGAACTGCACACGTATACAAACTCCGAGTTCCTATTGATTTAAGGGCATAGTTTGGCCGTTAGCCACGCAACATTGAAGCAGTCTCACGCCGCTGCCTGCTCTACTCAGCCCGGCTTTATGCCGCAGTCACTTCTACTCTGCCGCATGTCTTTGTTAACACACACGCCCTTTGTGGGCCGCCGTGTGCAGACACACCACCGTGTTGCAAAAGAAAAATAATCAATTTTATATACGCCACACGCGGCGGCGGCGGCTCGTTGCGTTTGTTTTTCTCTTTTTGCGAGTGGAGGGCCGACGGCGCAAAAAATTGAGCCGGACGCAGGACGAAACAAGGGAAGTCTCAAAAGTTTTTAATTAGATTCCGGCTCGTTAAGTCTCTCTTTTGGCGAGACGCGGATGAACGTTAAATTAATTCAGCTGCTGAGAGATCACGCTTTTGTGCCTCGCCTGACGTCGATGGGCAACTCTTTCAGAAATAAATTAATCCCCGCATCTTTAGTAAATAGTAAAATAATCAATTCGAAATTATTTTTATAGCATGTAGTCAATAAAATGAAATTGATATTTTTAAACTATTTTAATGAACGAATTGGAGGCTCACTGCAGCATATATGGAACAATTTTATTATTTTGCATGTTCTAGCACAATCTTTTTTGTGATGTTGCTTTTTGTCCATCAATGAGCAATATTGCCCTTGCAGAAATTAGTTTGAACTCAATGTAAAAGTTTTATATATATATATATATAAAAAGATCAAGCAGCCAACCCATATATCTAAAGATTTGAAAATCTAATTATGGTGATATCTTCTGTCAACCTTGAATAAATATTTTTTTTTTCAAGTACTAAATATTTTATAAAAAGGCATTATTGACAGATATAGTAATGTTTTGCTTTACTATAATATTAAATCTATAAAAAATAAAAATAATAAACATAAATAGTAAAAATAAAAGAGAACACCATTAAAAATTTTTTTAAATAATAAAAAGTATATTAATTTTTTAATTTTATTTTAAGCGCTCTTGTTTCATGTTACTGAAAAAATGACCAAATAATAATGAAATATTACGTTACAATGTTCAGGATGAGAGTAGTTTTAAAGAAATTTCTAATTGAAAAATTAATAAAGGGATGTTCGTTTTTAAGACGAGGCACCCAGATTAGTATTAAACAAGTTAATCAGTTACCCTATAGGGAATTGTGGAATGGCTATTTATAGTTGCCAAATTTAACTTCGGACCTTATCACTGATTAAAAATAAAAAAAGTAGGCAAAAAGTGTGTTATTTTCCTACTATTTCTCATCTCAAATGAAAAACAAATTCAATTTCGTAATAAAAATTAAAACCCTCAGCAATATGAAAGTAGAATTTGCAGTTCAAGATCGTAAAGTTTCATCTAAAAAATAGCTTTGTTTAGAATAATCAGAAAATGAATCAATCATATCATATTTTTCACAATTTTTTTTATTTAGTGATGCCTCGATCACTTTTTACCTAAAGATGAAATCAATTTTTTCTTCTGGCCCCTTCACAAATTTTAATTTTAAAAAGAACGGCAAGGAATATAAGAATGATTTTTCTAAAGAAACAGTCGTATTTGTGATTAAAAATCTCTACCAGCGAAAGAGGTTTGTATGAACGGTCTATTAAAGCACATTATTCCATTTTCAACTTCCTGTTGCTCGTTCTGCTGCCTCCTCTATCTCGCGCCTTCCTTGGCTCTGTTAGGTCGCTCACGTTTCCATTCCCACCCTCTCTGCGGTATATTGAATTGAATAATTACATTTCATTACCAAGATACATAACATACACCCGTATTTACCGCAGACCAGCGCTCTGTGAATAAATTTCCTTTGGCCGAGGACCATTAGTCACTCTAACTGCCAGAATTAAAATCATCTTTTATATGTGTCGTAAAACGAACACTTCTTTCGGTCTTGCAATCTGTGTCGCTTGCATAATTAGCATTTTTATATCGAGAACTACTCGTATATATCCTTCTTTTGGACGAGAGACGAATAATATTTCTTTTTCGAGCAGCAGCAGCTCGTCGTCGTTTGCCCTGAAAGGGACGACGAGTTTATTGAAATCCACACGGTCTGCACTGACAAAAGCGATATATTTTTCAAAGGACTTTTTTGGTTGGAGCGCCACGCTGTGCACCGAGAGCATTCAAGGTGTGCGGCGCCACAGCTGCCTTTCAATGAAAATCCGGGTTCATTGAAAAAGCGCTGCTGCGAATTGTGAGACTTGACCCAAATTTCGGCGCTTTGATTGTGCGGTGCCACTGATGTGCTCTTGATGCACAGACGCGACAAAAGAGCAGCGAGCGGACAGGTCATTTAACTTAAAAATGGATTTCACAAACCCACAAGATTAGCTTGGTTGTGGAGGAATCAATTATTCACTTTAATTTGTCTTTAATTATCATCTTTTAGTTATTTGAGTTATTAACATGCTTGTTTGACAATTTCACTAGAAGTTATTAAATTTTTAAGCAATCAAGTAAATTGTTAAAATTTATTTTTGTTCAAAATTAATTTTACCGGTCAAATGAACATCACAACCTGAATAGAACGAATCAACTTTTAGTCTTTTAGGTCTTCTTGTTATGTAATTCTTAGTTCTGCGCAACCGATTTATTTATCAAATGCTAAAATATTTTATTCCACATGAAATTAAATTTTTATTTATTGTTTGAAGCGGAGATGGTTTATTAAAAATAACATTATTAAAAAAAAATCAATGTACAATAAATTTAATACTTTTGTAATGTATGTGGCTAAGCTGTTGCTTGAAATAAATTAATTTTTTTTTATTATTATTTAATAAATTTGAAACTTGGCGTGCACTTTTTACTTTGAAATGTGTGCTGATATTAGCTTGAAAAATATCATCTAAAATCATAAATAATCAGACAAGCCTCGTTCTGTCAGCAAACCATCAGATCGCGGCAGACGCACGGCGGATGTTGTTAAACCTGGATGCTGCATCAGTAGTGTGTCGGGGGATCAAATGACGTCATTTGATACTAAATTCCGTCGCACCTACGATACCAAATCGGGTGCGGCCATAAAATCTGCAACCTAAAAAGCTCCACACGCAAATTTTTTACCGGCAGCGAGGGCTCAAATTACGCCAGTAAATCTTCAGCCGGTTACCAAATTCATAAAAAAATTCTTGATTTTTCTGCTTGTCTAGCGCATAATTTAAGAATTTCACTGATTTTAATTAAGCCGAGTATAAAGAGCCGCCTTTGATTTTTGCCTCTCGTCAAAAGCGGCATTTCAACCCGAAAAGTTCTGGAAGCGTTCTGCTTTGAAAAGGAGTTGCCAATTTTGCGAAAAGTCGGCGAAATTTATCGCTCAAAGTCCCAGAGCCCTTTTCATCCACATTAAATTTGGCTGGAAGAGCAGGGAAGGGAAAACGGTGGCGGCGCCTCTCTCAAGAGAGTAGCTGCGAAAATTCCCTGTAAATAAAAGGTGGATTTATATGCAAACATCTCCCACTTCCAAAGTCACTTTTCCGCTCGCTCTACAACTTTTATGTATTATCTCTCGAAAAATAAACTAGAGCGGAGGGCGAGGATAATGGCGCCTATTCTCGTTGCCTGCGATATTTATTGTCCATAAAGGCTGCGCATCTCACAATGCTCCTCGCTGGAGAGAGAAAAGAAAGGCCCATTCCGGACTCTGCAATGGCCCCGAGATATAGAGTTGGTGGACAATCAAGGTAATTGCGTTTCCATCATTAAAGTGGATTGCACGGTCGCGACGAGCCGCTCAAAAGTGATTTTTCCACGCGAGCGCATGAATGTGGAATGAGCTACTCCATTTCACGTCAGTACGTAAGTAAGTGTACTGAACGTGTAACAACTTCTTCTTGCGTGTGGCTCTGGCTCGGGCAGCTGCTTCATATGTACATGCATGTACTCTCATGTGGTACAAGTTCACTGCGGACGTTGGTGCAAATTTGGAATTTCGAGCGGCGTTGCCGTCCCTTAATTGGAGCGCGAGTGCTTTCTTTCTTTCTTTCGCTTTCATTCCTCACAAAAGGGGTGCGGAATTAGGCCAGCGCGATAAATTTTTGAAATAAAGAGTGTGTCGGGCAGCAGCAAGGGGTCGGCCCTCCTCCTGCGAGTTTTTGCTCGGATTAAAGCAGCCTGCTTTTCTTCCTCCCTGATGATAACGACACTGTTCGCAAACTGCGTGACGTAAAATTAGGCTTTATTTGACTTTCAAATCCCGAGTTATTTCCACTTACAACAGCTAAAATGAAACAAATGCTTGAAGCGATAAATTTACAGATTTTTCACTCCGTAAAATATTTCAATTAAAATTTTGAATTGATTTCAAATATTTACTTAATATTGCATTTGCATAGCTCTATAAAATGAGAGAAATAACATTTAATACTGAAAATTGAAATTTATATTAGCTCCTACTGCAAAATTTACTTGGCCAAACTTCAATTTTGGAGTAAACTACTGGCATAGCATCATTTATTCTCAATATAATCAAATTATGTAAATTTTCTAGATACTATGTTTAAGTTATATGCGAGCTCCATTGTAAAAAAATCCTATATCTGTATGGTGATTATTCAATTGGAATTAATATTTCTATATTTTATATTTTTAAGTATTGTCTCGATTTGTGTGGAATCTGAATAAAAAATGTATTAGTTGAATCCAATTCTAATAATTTTTTTTCAGGGATTTGATAGTTTTTTTTTTAGTTTCAATAAAAAGCGCACTTTATTATGGCTTATGAATCTGAATTTTTCCGATGCATTTTAATAAACTGGTGGCGTCTGGTACGATCCATGTATATTTCCGACGCGTCCAATGTGCGACGGTGCTTAAAAACAAACGCGACCTTTTTGCTGGCAACAGCACTTTTTGCGCACGACTTGGGCTGGGTGCTGGTTGGCGTCTTCTTTTTTTAAGGGTAGATATTCAATTGAACCATCATTCCGTGCGAACTTTATCGAGCCACTTGTGTTTCTTGCTTTTTTCCGCATACATATATGTACATCCATACAGAGCGAAAGCAGCCCTCGACGAGAGAGAGAACGTGTGGCAGCCGGCAGCAGTAATAGTTGACTGCATGCCAGCAAAATCTTTAAAAGCAACGGCGCGGCTATGCTCCCCAGGCGACCTTTTGTTGCTCACAAACTGACCTCAATAATGCAAATTTTCATTTTATGTATGTTTGTGTTGTATTATTATATCAGTGCCAGCACTGCCCTCGTGAATATTTTAAATTCGCCTCAATCTGATGCATTATTGAAACACGTGGAGACTCGCGCGCACTGCGAAAAGCGATTAACGTACTGGCATCGTGGCTAATCTCTCCGAGCAAAAGTCAATTAAAAAATTTGTTTACCCCAAAGAACGTTACATATTGCTTGCTGCAGACTGACCACTTGAATGTGAGCACTACCAGCAAGTTTGGCTTGGTTATCTCTTTTTTTATTATAGTCACATTTCGACAGTATGTAGCAAAAATTTCATTTGAAACTTAGAGCACACGATTTTTTTTATAAATTTTGAATTAATGTACCTTGCCTTGTTTAAATAAAAAAAAAAAAAATCATCCTAAATTTTAGATCATAAATATTATCAACTTCAATTTGAAATTTTAAATTTGAGAAAATGGCAGGTGAAAAAGTTCCTTTTTGTATTATCTATGATAAATAAAATTTAAGGTTAAAATAATTATTAATAAAAATTAATCAATCTAAAGCTGGATGCATGTTTCTTGTATGTGTGAGCTAATGCATGCAATTAATATAGTCGCTTATCCTACAAAACCTATTTATCAGATTTCTCTTCCTCTCTCTGTTTAGAATCAACTCGGCTGCTGTTAAACAAGGGCTAAATCAATGAAGACGCGACGAGTTGTTGAGAGCAGCAGCAAATCGCTCTCTTGCTTCTGTAGCAAAAAGTCGAGCAGGCGTTAAGTACCTCTAAGAGCTCACACCAGTGTTTTTGCGCTTGCCGGGGGCGATAGCTAATCTCCAAGATAAATACAAGCCCATCCATGCCGACAGAAATTAACAAGATCTCCATTCGTTCTCCGAGGCGCAAAGTATACGTGAAGTTAAGACGCGTCTCGCGCCGAGTTGCAAAGCAAACTCGAGTTTCAGCCAGAGAGAGTGCAGAGCAAGTTAGCGGAAAGATGGAAAGTGTGGTGAACAGGAAAATGTTATGTATTTTATATCTTACTTTGAGGTTTCCCATGGTATTTGTGGAAATTTGGTTTCCCTACCACTCACTTTGAGAAACAAAGTAATTAGTTATTTGAGAAACTGTTTTTCAAATTTTTACTATCAAATTGTAAGCATCTTTCATTATTTATAATAATAATTGTTTCAAAAACGTCCAGGTTTAAACATTTGCACACGTCTTTTTTAGGGTTGCAAAGCGCGGTTAATAGAAAAGTTTTTTTTAAGGAACACTTTGAGACTTACTTTAATTTTTTGGCAGCTATTTTTTTATATTGTTACGGTTTGTAAAAATAGTACTTATCCTAATTTCAATAGAAATTTGAAGCTGATGATTATTTTTGTAGTAAAAAATTGCCATTGTAATCAAAGTGTCGGTTCTTCTTTCAATATCAGTACAATCATAATTGTTTAAACAAAAATCTCAAACGTTTACTTTTAGCATCATTTTTGCTACTGGCGGTGATGACGCTTTTTTTCTCATTTTTTAAAGAATGTAAGAAAACATTTTCTTTCCTCATTCTATTGAGTGCTTTTTAGAAGTTGTTTTCCAGCCGTTAAGTTGAAATAAGCCCGAAACAAGAGCAGCCTTCAAAGACAGATCGGTTAAAGATTTGAGTGTACACAAGTGGTAGTGCGGCGCCATCAAATCTGCGCCTTCGTCTAAAAAGGAGAAGGCTTACATAATATGTACAAAAAGCTGGTGGCCTATAAAAGGCGGCGCAATCCTGCGCCTGCTAAACTAGCGTGGAAAAAGCAGCGCCCCTTCTACGGCAGCCGAGCACGAGATGAATATCGCGCCGGAGCAGAATGTGCGTGAGCCGGGGAGACGCTGGAGTAGAACTGTATGTGTGTGTCGAGCCGGTTGCATACATATACGGTGATAATAAATTACGCGTCACGCAAGTGTGTTAACTGTCAGCGCGAGGCGCCCGTTCTCCGTCCAAATTGAATCCACTTCGCACTTCTTCTGCCTCAGGGCCCTCCAGGGTCTTCGACCTGTCGCTCGCCCCGATCAGATTATTTGTTTTTTATTTTATTTTATGTTTCCGCACGTTCTTGATTCTCGTGCAACGAGCGGTGCAGCGCGATTGCATGCACGAAGCTTTTAATCTTTGTTTTTGTTTTTTTTATTTCCTCTACCACGGCCGAGGGTGACGCTCGTTTGGTTTTTCGCGCCTTACACGAGGGTTAAGTTTGTCCATTTCACGGCTCGGCCGACCTTTGGTCAGTTTTGCGGCATCGATTTTGTTCGCTGTGCGCGCCCAACAAGTGAATAATTAAAAATTTTACATGTGCCGGCACACGACGAGCGTGTAATTTAGAGCTCGTTTACACTACTTTTCCATAACCGGCTATACGAATGCCATCAAAAAATTGTTAGCGGGGAGAATTATTGTTTTAAATAATGAAATAATAACAGGGAAGAAGTGAATTTTTTATTAAAACAACCGTAAATCGCTTTGCGGTTCATTTTGGAAACGTGACGCATATGCTGAATTGAATTAGGCCGTGTTGTAAATCTCGGAAGTTTAACGGAGACAGGCCTACACAAAACTTTTGGTGCTCGAGCAGGCGCGTGACGCAATTGCGCCTAATTATTTAAATTTATGCACTCACATTGCAAACTGAGCAGTTTCTTGAAACAGAAACAGAGCATGAAACTGTCTCTTAGGCCCTAATTAATTATGCAGCAAGTTAAGATAAAAATTACATAATACAATAACTTTGAAAAATTTGAATAATATTCTTTTTTTACAGTTCGAATTTTAATAAAAAAAATATAATTATTTATTTATTTCTAAATTTACTTCAATATTTATTCTGGCAATGTAACCTTTCTATGAGAGCAAAAATGATTATAAAGCATTAATTATAATCCTATTTTTCTTCTAAAGAATTTGAAAAAATTATCCGATTAGAAAATAGGTTTTAATCTGCCTGCGACATTTTTAGCTAAAATTTGAATTTAAAAAAATTACCATTCATAAGTTTGTATCCAATAAATAAAAAAGGATTAAAATTTTTAATTCTAGGAGAAAATTTTTATAAAAAAAATAATAATTTGTACTCACCGGGCATAATTGACACTGTCTTGAGGGCACGAAGCACACGAAAGGTACGCAGACCAGCCAAATTTTCACTCAGTTTAACGGTGGTCGCGTACCCCGACGCAATAACAACAAAGTCCAACCAGTTCCACGGATTTCGAAGGTAGGTGTATTTGTTTAGAATGAAGCCTTTTGCCACCGATTTAATAACCATTTCTAAACTGTATATCACCAAGAAGAAGTACCTGCGAAAAAGGGAACAATTATCAGTCATAGAAACTTTGAGAAGGTTGCACATTACACGCAGGTTGGAAAAATTGTTACGTAACAAAAATTGCGTCTTGAACATAATCGGGGCAAAACTTGAGGAAGAGCTTGGGAGGGAATTTTTTTTTTTCTTTTCATCTTGACAAGTGGATCGGTTTGTGAAAAAAGAGCTCTGCGTGTAATGCGACTTCAAAGACGGCATCAAATCTTGTGTGCCGATAAGTAGCTTACTCTGCCTCCTCTATTTGTTCTTCCAGGGCGAGGAAGACGCAGTTGAGCAGTATAGTGGCCATCACAATGTAATCAAAATACTGGTTCGTCGATACAAAAACACAAGCTCGCCTCCAACTGTTCCACGGTGAAAATATAAAAAAGGAGTTGGTGGCGGTGAAGCGATGGATGTAGTTCTTCCGAAAGCGTTTCGACACCACGCAGAAAGTCTGGAAACAAAAAACAAACACAACCGTCAGGTTAATGCGACTCCTTCAATTGTGTGGAACATTTGTTTGCAGGGAAAATAAACCAACTTCTATTTTCGCTTCTTTAATAATAAAGCCGCTTCTCGTATTAGTTGGAATTCCGCCTTGTTTTTTTTTTCGGGAATTTGCAAACGGGAATGCAAAAAAAAAGAATAATAATAAGTCAGAAACCAAACCTCTTCGCGGCTCAAAATTTTTTTATATGGAAGATTTTAGCAAAATTCATGCTATTGATGTTGATAGTGCCTTTTATCCTGATGTTTATTTACATGAAAATTTTCATGTAAAAATAGTGTAAACCAACAAAAGTTAAATAATTATCACACAGTTAAATATTTGAATTGCAAAAATGTGTCCCATCTAATAAATAATTTATCTGCTCTCTAAACTTTCAGAAAAATTCTTGATGGAGGTGGTGATGATAATAAAAAAATTCCCCTTCTTTTGAACGATAGTCATCAACAATTGATTGTTATAATGTGAACAAAAAGACAAACAATATTTCTCCCCTAAATCTTTCCAACGCTTTTATTTTTTTATTACATTACAAAAATTATACCAGATGTTTTAAATATTCTTGTAATCCTTTTTTATACTTTATTTTCCTTCATATTTCTCTTCTATCATGTCATTGGTGCATGTGAATCGTGAAATGCAATAAGAAATCTCATATTTTCCCGTTTCCAATTGACTCTGCAAGTCCATTTAGCGCCTGAACTAGAAACTTCTGCGCTGCATTCCAACTAAGCGTGCTAATAGCAGATCGATACATACAGAAGTAGTTCTTGCTTCCGTTGTAATAACCGGCGAGGCGATGAATATGGAAAGTACATTTTCATATCATCGATAAAATAGAAACTGCATTTATTCATGCAGCCAGAGTCAATAATTGCATAGCAATTCGAGAGGTAAAATAAGAGCAATGCACATCGCCAAGGTTAATGCATACAAAGCGCCTGGTACTTGTTAATACAACTGCAGATGGATAGACAATGGAAAACTGACACTGGGAAAATATGCCCGTTTCTCTTCCGCAACAAGAGCGCGATTCTACAAGTGGCGCTGCTGCCTTCGTGCCCAATTAAAAGGCTGATAATAATTAAAAAGGGATGAGATAAAAACACACAGCAGTCGCGCCGTCATTAAGGGTCGGTCGCCAACGACGACTTTCCTGCCCAATTTTTGCCAACAAAAGCGAGACGAAGAGGGGACCTGGGAAATTAAAGCAGCTGCCGTCTCGTCATCACTTTTGGCAAATATTTGGCCGGGGAAATAATCACGAAATGAGTGAGAGCGTGGCTAGCGACCAGCCAGAGGTCGTATACTTTAATTTGGCGAGGGTGCGCCCACAGCTCGGCAAATTGCTTTGTACGCTTGCTCACAGAAAAAGAAAGACGTCCACGCAGTGTGTATACATAAATTTTGTATTACACCCGCTCCACTGCCTGCAGTTTCCAGCAACTAACGACTGTCGCTTAATTGACAATAACGAGCTAATGACCAACAATTACAATTATTTCACTAATACTTCGAGAAATATGAGAGGAATGAATTAAAGGGTTTTTGGAATGACTTGAAGAGGTGCTTTATTTAATTTATAGAAAACAAATAAGCATTTATTTTCTCGTAAAATCATTAGTTCAAAGGAGTCATTTTTTCATATTGAAAAGAAAATAATAAAAAATAGAAAAATACATTTTTTACTCTCAAAATTGCGGCACAAGTAGTTTAGAAACCTCTAAATAATGATTAAAATGTTAACAATAACGTTCAGATTAATTTAATTCATAGAGGATTTGCTGGATTTATAAATTATTTTGATTGTTGTGATGTGGCTGTATGTGAAGGTAATTGCCGAAAATTCTTGGAGCGTGTCAAAAGTTAGAATATGTATAAAAAAAATTGTATTGCATGCCGAGCTGTGCCGCTGCGCGTATAGTTCATATAAAATCTATAAAATGAATTTTATCTTGAAATCCATGCTTCAACAAGATCAAGGACGTATTATGGAACCATAGTATAGATTTTTTATTATTATTGTTAAAGAGGATAATTTTTATTTTCTTGAGAATTTAGTTCCAATTGAAATTCCCATTATTATTTATATTGAATTTTTTTACTCTTTTGATGGAGCTCCAAAAAATATATAGATGCTTTCTGAAGTGATTATAGAAATAGAAAGGTTATTGGGCTAGATAAAATGTGTCTTCGTTTTATTATGTTTTTAATTCAACTTAAAACGGAAAAAAATTTGATTTTGAGCTGCAGTCAATTTCTGAATTTGGCTTTGTAGCTATTTATGGCGCATTAAAATTTTAATTAAAATTGATAGAACACGAAAGAATTGAGATATATTTTCCTATATAAAGGGTTCTCACACACACACGAGGTGTATATTTTTGCTGCATTTGAACTAATCCGTTGTGATACTTTATTTTTATTGCGCTGGTGGGAGCTTGAATAAGTTAGTTGTGAGGAATAGAAACATGTTTCAACGTTTAACCGTTTCTATTTTGCACGCAGCAGGCGAATTAAGTTAGTGTGAAAAATTATCTGCGCGATAAAGAAGGGGTTTTCCGCCCTTTTTCTTATTCCCAAGGGTATCTGCTGGGCGACCAGCCGGCGTTTTTCCATTTGCGTACTGAGAGAGAAAGAGAGTTCAGTGCGGATGGATGGTAATTTAAATTCCGGCGTCGCGCTGCTCTTTGCTGCGGGACAGACGCCGGAGTTGCCGCCAGAGAGTCTATTAAATCAAATGCTCGCACTGCAGCCGGCGGTCGTTCATAAAATTCCAACGCTGATTTATAGGATAGGATTCGCTCGCTCGTTGCTCTCGGTGCTGAATGGAGCGCGAGTAATGCGGCGAGCGCCCTTCACCCCTTCGCCAACACGGGCCTTTTAATTAGGCCAATGCGCTCTTTGAGCCAAGGGTCACCGTCGACAAAGGGACTTCTGAATTGTTGGAGCAACGGCACAAAGTTGAATCGATTGATTATCCTACCAAAATCCTGAATTGATAATATCATCACTTTTTTCAAGAGAAAAATTTTGAACAAATTCAGGCACTTTTTTTAATATAGAACCGTTTTCGAAGCGATTTTCAGAATAAAAGTTGAGATGATTAGAGAAGCAAAAATATCGCCATAAATAAGGTTTCTCATCATTAAACCCCATCAAACAAATTCTGTTTGCAAAATGTGATTGCAACTGTAAAATCTTCCAAATTTCGAATTGAAAAAATTAATTTTATTTCAAGCTGTAATTTCATTGGTAGCATTACTAATTAATTTTCAAAGTGTAGTGTTATTTACGTTAAGAAGAACAATCCATTTTCCCAAATAAGAAGTCAACGTGAACACAAGATTTAATTTTGAATTAATTAAATTGGGCAGAGAAAATTGAACTAAAATTAATTTATGATTTTTTACTTATTTATTCTGGTAAAATTAGAAATTAAATTTTATTCATAATAAAAGTAAGAAAATAAACTATTCTAGTCATTCAAGTTTAGAGATAAACAGAGAGATTGTGCGAGCGTGTTGTATTCGTTAAAAAATTATTTGTGTTCTATTAGTTGCAAACAACAACATAGATAAGCAAAACTACTTCAGAAGTTCTCCTCACGTCCGGCTCAACAGAGATGATTTAAATTTTATGATCTTCCTCGCACGACCAACTTTCGCACACGTATACATTTTCCCAAAAACTTTTACACGCCGCGAACAAGAGAAGAAAAACAAAATAAGTGAGTAATGGGTTCACTTTAAATCTGCTGGAAGCAGCCGTAAAACATTCATATAACTCGCAATGCGCCAAAGTTTGCGCCGCGAAAGAGAGCAAGATGGATTGGGGGTGTGACGGAAAAAATCAAGGAGAGTCGCTCGCATGCAAAGAAAAAGAACGAATCGATTTTGGAAAAATAGGCGAATCGGACCGTTAAAGGGCAGCTGGGAATTAAAAGCTGCGGTTGACCGAGAGAATGTCACCTAATGGGCCGCAAGCGAGCGACCACAGGTTGCCACCATCGGCAGTGGAATGAAAAAAGAAACAACAGATGTCATTCTGATATGTATAGTTGGCTCTCTCTATTGATTAGCCGCTATTAAGTTCCCAAATGAAGTCACGCTGCCTGCCCGTGTGTGTGTGTGTCACGCAAAGTTTTTCCCGCGAGCGTGTGCGGGGAGGACCCGCGCGGTTCGTTTCGCCGATTTGCTGCAATGTCATGCGTGAGCTACTTTCGCGCCATTCGCAGGAAAATCGAGCCAAATCCGTCGCTCGATACGATGTGAAAAAAACACACACACACGTGCTATTTAATGCCCACTTAATTATTTTTTCGCCCACTCTCGCTCGCCTGCAAGCGGAGTAATTAAAAAGTTTGCGGCCGACTGGGGCGAATTATCAAGTTTTGAAAGTGTAGCGCGCCGGCGGGCGGCGAGAGCTGTTTTTGTGCAAATTAATTTCGCCGCTGCGTTGTCAAGAGGTGAGAATTGTGTGGGGGAGTCTTCGCGCGCCGGTCATTAAGGTGCTATTTGCGAGTTGCTTTTTCTCACGGGGAAGCTGAGGAGGGTGCGCGGCGAACAGGTGCACGTTTATATTCCGCTTCCTTGTTTCTAATTTTGGAAGGCTTGTTCCACTTTACTGATTTAAATGTTAATGAACCAGCAGAAGTTGGGCAATTCGTGCGGCTCGTAAAACATAATTTCATTACAACAAAATAGAAAGCCACACTTGCTGTTAACAATAACTGACTGGGAAGTTTTAATATTGTCTGGAATAAAAAAAGTGTTTTGAAAATTCTCCATTAACTCGCCTCTATCCACTGTTAATTTTCTCTTGATCTGAGATAACAAGGGGCTTTTGCACGCCAAACTAGACACTCGAGGCAACCTTGCGTTATTTTCCGGCTGGCCAGAAAGCGGCAGCGAGTGCGACCCCTGACCTTTGCGCGCATTAACCTT